ATAAAGATTGACTGGTAGAGTAGTGTATAGGCGGCATATGCCAATTGTTGGATCGAAATAGTAAATGACAAACATTGGTATCATGCATATCGTACCTAATATTATACTGATAATAACTGTCAGACGTGCTATTCGCTTCGTGCTTGCTGAATTGAATGAGCGCGACTTCGAACTGGAACAATATCGATCAAATGACGCTAGAATGAGCATAATCCGAGCAAGTGTCGGCGGTAAGAATATGATATAATAGTATATATTACATCCTATCGGTGTATTCTCCCATCCGATCGACAAAGCACGTATAACTTGTGTTGGACATACCAGACAACTGTAAATTATACTCAGAATTGAGTAGCTAATAAAATAATACGAGCAAGGTGAACTACGAAGAGCATTGGAGAAAAGAATGCGAATGCTGAAACTATTTGTGACTAAAACTAATGTGAATAGTATGGGTTGAATATAAATATTTGATTTTAAAACTTGATCGTATAATGCACTCATCTTGATCCAACGCGTTGATGATCGAAGAGAAGAAAAATGATGAGATTGTTGTTCGATTGTTAACGCACGACTGTCAAAGAGAAGTATATTGAAGAATTTGATAGTGAAAAGAAGAAAAAGAACTGCAGTCAAGCATTTTAAATTCATCATCGCCAACATGAACGATGATCGCATAGAAGATTGAGAATCGAACTCGTAACTATAGAAATATCTCATATAAAAAAGTCGATTACAACTTTTCGATAATATAATTGATGCCTAATCATATTTAGATCATTGTTTTCTATGGACTACCAGCGAGAACGAGATGAACGTGCTATCAGCAAATATAGTGACATATTTTTCTTCTTATTTTTGCGTGCCTTTCTAATTGTCAAAGTTCTCATAGAAACCATTGCTGATGTGCATCTTTCTAGTCTCTTAATCTGTTCCAAATTAATACGCGCCAAAGAAAATGTAAGAGAGGCAAAAAATAGAAAAGAAGTTACCGTATTCATTTATTGCATTACTCGTTGATGGATATTTTCTTGAATGCTTGTTCTAATGAGGTATTTTTCAATAGCAAGCATTTAGCGCAATAGTGCGGCAGTGATGCCATTTACGAATAAATATTAGCCGAACAAATGGCAGAGAAAGTTTGTATATTGTTCCATATCTTAGTAGTAAGAGCGTTCTAATTCAGTTGATGAAAACTACAAATAGACACAAGTTAAACGCCCGTCTGTTTGTACACTGTAGTTGAATACTTTTCGCCAAGTAAACCGATTCAAATTCATGAGAATTTTATTATGCATCAATAAGAGCAGTTTGTTTTCGAACAAAGAGAACAACAAATCAGGGTAATGGATTGTGTCCATATAACGATAACAGATCGTGATTGATTGCAACGAAATCCAGGATCATCACACCAACCAACTGCTTGAGCCATATGCACGAGACACATTTAACCTACTTAAACACGATGAGTAGATTCTATTCAGTGTTTTCTTTTCGTCTACGTTCCAACCTTCACCGTGTGAATATAACTGAACTCGATTTTCAAACCATAGTCCTTCATTTAACGGGCAACAACCTAAAAGTAACACGGTTTAATCTAATACGTAGTATGCTGAAGAGAAAAAAGATGATTGATATAACAGAAAAATGTGAATCTATGTAAATATCTCAAGAGAAATAATTAATATGTAGCATTCCTGTGATTTACCTGTTGTTCAATGATCCGACGTAAGTAAGTGTGATCAACTGCGTCATTCTCAATAAAGTGTCGTCTGCTTTGAACTTTCTCTCTTTTTTCTTATATACAATAAATATGTGGCATTTAATTGACATCGAAATGTTCGACTATTTATAAAATTGCTTTCACTTTGACATGCTGAAGTGTCAAACTGCTTATCTTGTCAAATAACATGGTGAATACTGAGTATTTAGGTTTATTTTATTGACATCGTAATCTCTTAACTATTCTTCGATCTTTCATCTTAAAATCGTCGAACACTTCTTCAATGTCTTCCAATAAAACTCCTTTCGTTTCTGGACACAGAAGATACACAAAAACAACAGCTAAAAGGCATAAACTACCAAACAGATAAAAAACCCCATGCACACCAATAGGTTCTATCAATTCCAACATGTAGGCCATAATTATACACATAAACCAATGGCTTGCCGTTGTAAATGACATAGCTCGAGCTCGAACATTAAGAGGAAAGATTTCTGCAGCATAAATCCAACAGATCGCTCCCCAAGAAAGCGCAAAACAAATAATATAGATCACCGTAGCAATAAGCATTAGAATGCCTGCATACGAGCCACAATTAACATCTTCATGAACAACAATCTTATCTACGATTGTTTTGACAACAGTACAGCCAGTGCGAAATACAGTGGCTGCCATAAAATGACCCAATACCATACCTAATCCACAGAAAATGAGTAAATTTCGTCGTTCTATTTTATCGAATAAGAATAAGGCTGGTATTGTACTAAACATATTTGCACCCGAAAGGATTAATAAGGAGATAAAACCTGAGCCGAGAACACTTTCGAAAATCATGCCACCGAAGGCAAAGATCGGACTGATCCCTGACATCTGTAAGAAAATGTGAATTTCCATTCCAACAACGAGTCTTTTCAACATTTTCTTCGTTGTCAGTAATTCTTTGATTGAAAGCTCGTTTCCTTCTTCGCGTATGGCATCGGCAATGGCATCTAATTCAGCCGTGACATCAGGTATACATCGGATACGTTTTAGACTTTTTTCTGCCTGTTGTCGACCTTTCTTCTTAAACAACCATCGAGGTGTTTCAGGACAAAAGAAGATACCAATGAGAAGAATCAATGGAACAATGAGAATAATTCCATTAGATAGACGCCAACCCCATCGATGATGTTGTAAGAAAAAGTTAAAAACATTTGCAGAGAATAATCCAGTTACGATGGCCATGGTCATAAAACTCTCAAGCAGGTATAAAGATAATATTGAATCGAGAAAGAATAGATAAATTGTCCTTGTAGAAGAAATCTATTCTGGAGTAATAAGAACAACAACGAAAAATAAAAAAGAAATAAGATTCAATCAATCGATAACTTGGACAACAAAGATATGGTCAGTACAATTAATAAGAGTGAAAAAGAATTTTGAATGCCATTAACAATAGCTGTCTGTTCCCTTGTGGATATGACTGAAACTTGAACTGTCCTGTGCTACTTCAAACCATCCTTGTCATTTATCAAATGTTTCGATTTGATCTGGTTACTATACAAGCATATGAGGATCAAGACGATCATCAACTGCACATTCACAGTACATCTGCATCGATAAAAAGTGGAGGGGCGCCTGCTAGTCTCGCCAGGAATTCATACAAAGCTAGTAGTTCAGCATATCCGACATTGTTGAAGAAAATCAAGTGGAAGCATAGTTTTTATAATCTGATCGTACGACATGACGTGCTATATCTTTAATAAAAACACTCTTTTTGTCATTGTTCGTCGCCGTACTTCATACTTATTGAATAATTTGTGCGTAGGTTACATCGCGTCGGGCATTTAAGTAATTGTAAAGCCGGCCATAATACGCTTGCGTTGAAGCTAAATAAAAAGTACAGAAAAGCGTACAAACACCCTTCAAGCACTTTCAAATGCGTAGATCAAACAAAAAAAGCTTGTCAGCGCAGCCCCTTTGGGGCTAAAATGCCGAATTCACATACTTGTATTTGGAAAACGAGACTGTGGATTAGAATGGGATACTTGGGGCGTAANAAACAAAGTAATAGATAAATACTCTTCATCTGTCATCTTCTCTGAAATTTTCCCTAAACGCACGGAAGATATGTCTAGATAAGATTACCAAATGAAAGTCTCGGTTATTCTGCTATATCAAACAACATCGAATAAGTCAGACTAATAAGGCTTTTATTTTTAAAATCTATTAAATCATACTAACCGGATGGAAATCGTGTTCCACTTATAACACTCATACTAGTAGCATCTGTATCTATCAACATATTTCCATTTAGATCTATTATATCATTAAATAACTGACAAATCATAATTGACCGATAAAAAGTTGCTGCTTTGCATTGACTTCGCATTAAACATGCTACTTGACAACCAAGAACATTTGGTGGAATAATAATAATGAACGGTAAACATGTTGTATTAGCACATTGAAATTTAGAATTCATGCTAACAAACATTTTCATTGATCGCATATTTTCTTCTGTTGATTGTATGATAATCATAAAGATAAACCAAAAAGAAATTTTTCTTGTAATCATTCTGAATTGAATTCAACTAATGAAAGAAAAAGGAAAAGAAAAATAGTCTGTTAAACATTATATACTATTGTTTCTTTTTCTCTTTTTCAGCGGTCCATATCGTGTCTTTTTCTCTCAAATTCTTTTATAAATCTAATAAATGTAAAAGAGAAGATATTTCTGTGTGTGTATGTTGTATATGAACAGATAGAGCTTTCGAATTGTTAAGAAAAATAAATCGAATTATCAAAACATAATTTTATTTGTTTTTAATAACGTTTTTCTTCAAGGCTTCTTTGCCCTTTTCTCTCTCTCTCTCCCCTTATTTTGTTTTTTTCTTCATCTTCTTAAACTACCTGTGTATAGATTGTCATTACCTTGAAAAGGAAACATCTGAATAAACGATGATGGCAACAACGTATGTATATCGTGGAATAAGAAAAGCATGAAAAAACAAAATGTATGACTGCTTTCTCTTTCTCTAATGTTTTATTTTTAAAAGAAGCAATATAGAAAATATATTTTGACATTTCATGCATAAACCATATTCAATGATACGCAAAGAAAATATTTTAGCTAGACAAATGAAATTGTAATGACGGTCGAAAGTATTAAAATGCTCAATCGATGTCGATTTTGAAGATTAGAAGAAAACAAATCTCTTGTCATCTATATAGATTAGAGTATCTAACTTATATATCTCGATTTAATTTCTAATGTAATATTAGAAAAAGTGTTCTTTTTACGCTACAAAACTTGCTAATTTAATGAAAATGTGAAAAGAAGACTCTAATCTCCAATATGAACGAAAGATTAGAACAACTAAAATCGAGAAATTTCAAAAGAATATAATAGAATAAACCTACCGGACGGAATAATAAAGATACCGAGCACGTTTATTGTGAATAAACAAGAAGAAAATCAATTATAACAACAAGAAATGATGAGAGAAATGAAAAAGCATTTCTATATGCATGATAAGACATAGACAGAGAGAGAGAGAGAGAAAATAAAAGTGAAAAAGTAATAATCATAACATGATGAAGAGAGAGACGGAAAACTACAACAAAGAAGGTCATTATGAATAGGGATGCACCAAATCCAATTCTAGAGTTGAATTCGGAGTTGATTGGAATTGGATTTGACTAGAATTAACTAGATTCTACATGGATTTGACCTAAATTCAAAGTTTTCGATTTATTTGTTACTACTTGCAGCTAACTAGGCGAAAGTATAGGTTGACTGCTTGTATTTGACTATCAATATTCTGTATAAAGGGGATGCAATTCCCTGTATTTGAACTGCACGTAGCTTGTACGAGAATCACTTTAAACGGCCGTTGTATTGTTAAAACCATGATCAGATTTGAGTCTCTCATAAGCTTAAATTAATATAGATTATCTGCAGACTCTCTAATAACTATCTTTATGCTTTGCATTTATTCAGTAGAACTCACGTCTATAGTTCTCTTTACAACAAAGCGAAACAAAAACAAATTTAGTATACATTCTCAACTCCTGTATCGAATCGATACTTGCATTGACGCTGTTCAGTAAGAGTGCGTCTAATGATATTGTTTAAAATACAATTTGAAACTATAACGAATTAGTTAGAAAGATTCTGTCTTTTTGCGGAAACTGTAATCAAACACACTATATGTGACAGAAGATTCTGATAGAGTATAGGTTGGTAAAAGTGTATTTAATTGAACAAAATCGCTTCTTAGTTTATATTGTGGGCTCTTGTGGCAATGTTTTCACCACAGCATTTAAATATCATTTCAAAGCTGTTTACAGAATACAAATTGCGTCAAATGTGGATACGTATTTCCATAAATTTATCTTCCATTGGACAACATACGAAGTTCATCGGAATGAATTCAGAAGAGTAAGGATATAAGCGAAGAGGTATTCGAGGCTTCCCGTATTGGCAGAAAATAATTTTACTGATTTATTCGAAATCAAAACGCAGAATCAACAACTGTTGAAGTCAAAATTATATTTCCTGTCGCTAGTCGCTGATTTGATTTGTTGTCTTTTCTTTGTTCCTATTGGCTTATCTATGTAACGGTTTGACACATGTCATTTTCAACGGACAATCAACGAGTTTCTCGATATCGATACACTTTTTTTGTAAAAGGTGATTTTTAAGTCATCTTGTCTCTCTTAAAATAGGATTAATGGCATATAATTAAATAAATTAACATATTTTCATCATGACGACATGAGAAATAATTGATAAAAAAGATGCTAAATTAATCGAGAGAAACGCTGTCTTGTCGTACGATCTGGCCGATACTAATACTTTTTAGTGTCGATTGAAGAAAAAATTTGAATATCTATCAAATTTATCGTTTTAGATTGCGAGGAAGTGTCTAATTACAACACTCTTACTGTGAGATGACTCGAACTCGACAAACTCGAGGAATACAACATACTACAACCACCAATTCTATTTCTGCATCAACCTATGACGATCTTGACGAAGATATCGATGGAAATGGGATTGAAAACGATCAAAGAATGGACGAAGGTGAAGTTGAACACGATGTATCAATGAACGATGATGAAGAAAAAGTCAATGATGGTACTGTTATCGATAACGTTATTACTAATGATACTCAAAATGGTGCAAAGAAGTTGAAATCAAATGTATGGCAGTATGTAGAAAAGCTTAAAAATGGAACGGCTAAATGTTTCAAATGTAAATCTTATATTAAGACCGCTAATGGTGCAACATCTACATTAAGAAAGTAGTTAATAACAGAACATGGGTTAATGCATTTGGCTTCATCATCTGCTTTACGTCCAAAACCACGTCCGAATAATTCAATTACCCGAGAAAAAAAAGAGTCGTCTGGATTATTTAGCAACTGTGACTGTCGTTAGTCTATACAATCAGATAGTTCACCAATGCCTGCCATATGTTGAACTTTTAGGAAACACGAATTAACGATCTGCGTATATATTAACGAAATCTATTCAATGAGTACTGATTATTTATTACTTATAAAATAAGTTTATGTTGCTCAGTATCGCTCAGATTTAACAAAGTGTAGGTGGCAATTCGTCAACTCCCATTGCACCTCATCTTAATCATGACTAATTTCAATAAGCCTGGTCAAATCTAGTCAATTTCAGTCAAATCCATCAAATTTCCAATTTGGATTTGATTGAAATTGAATTTGTCTGGAATTGGATTTGGTGCATATCTAGTCTCAAACCATGTTTCACGAAGTTCTGAGCATTTTTGGAGAAAATGTTTTTTTGACTTTTGACCTGCGACCTGCGACAGATACACACACAAACGAATTTCCGTTTTTTGACCACTTTTTTTCGACATGACGCTCCGTTCAGTCGAGGGAGTTATTAATCAATTATCGTCGTTAAAAATCTTGAATTCAAGAATAAGATTAGGTTGGCAATTTTTCATCAAGAAAAGCCAATTTTCAAAAAAAAAGTAACTTCTTTTTTGAGTTAGCGTTGTCTTTTGTACAAATTAGAAATGCGTAAAAGACTTAAAAATTCTCTATCATTTCTTAATTGTGTTTTAGTCGTCGGAAATATCGTCGTTCTTCTCAAAAAGAAACTATTAAATCTCTCCAACTTCTGAAAGAAGAAAGATCTGTTGAATCTTTTTCTCAGGTTTCTTTTTACATCCATTTTATAAATAAACATATGAAATTGCATTAAATTCTCCAGTAAAAGAATTACAAATTACTATCACTTCTGGTATCGACAGAAGTCATTTTGTAAGTCGAATAAGACAATCACTCAGAACCAATGGAAACATTTATTTAATTACCATTACTTGTATTTCGAGAAAAAGTTCTTCACATTATGAATGGGAAAAATAGGAATCATTCGTTCGTCAACGTTTCATTCTCTCCCGGATTCTAATAAAGTGACTGAGCACCTTTTTTTCCTACTGTTTCTGTTGAGTAAATTAATAGTTTTCTCGTATATGATATGTTTTGTCGGAACCTATGGGAATAAGTCGGACTCAACTGTGCATTTTATCATCAAAAACTATGAGAGCTACTCGACTCAATTCTTCTTCCTGATAGATTTTCAGTGGTCGTTAGACAATGAAAAACCCATCATAAAATAAAATTTATCAGTATATTTGCAAAATGTAGGTTTTAATGATCACTGTTTAAACTACATTTAAATGGAGAATAATACACGTGAACAAATGTGACAAATAGTTTCTACTGTTTCATTTTAGGATTGAATATTAGAATGAGAATTTCGACTTTTTTCTGGTTGACAATAAATATCAAATATTGAAAATGTGCTTTTTATTCGTATAAATATTAAACAAGATAACATAATGTTGGTAAGGAACTTTCCATTTGTTGAATGTGTGAATCTTTTTTTAGATTCTAATGACTCAAATGAGAATTTTTAACTCTTATTTTTTTTCCTTTAGGAAGACAAATCATCAATGTAAAAGTTCTCTCTCGTACATCTGTTTTTCGTTATTAGAAAATAGTTTTTAGGTAAAGAAATTGAGAATAAATGATCAATTAACATAAATAAAAAGCTAATAATTATGATCAGAAAAGTCTGCTGTATCCTGTTTAGTTCTGAGATTACTTGTCTTGAGTATCTATGTTCTAACTATACTACATTTGAAACTCGATGGGTTCAACAGGTATTTTCATATTGTGATCGCCTTAGTAAATGGAAAAACAATACTTCGTCTTAACCTAAACAACACACCATTAATGTGTATTATCAATATTAGTCATAAAATCTTTCATCAACTGATGTTGATATTAATCTCTCTTTTTTAAATTAAAAAAAAGATCGTTATTTCGTTAGTTTACACTGATTAATACTTAATTCATGACAAAAAAGGTATTGATTCTTCTGCACTCATATGCCTTTACGTATTAGGTAATTTATAATTCTATTATTGTATTGATGACGTCAAATGACACAAACGCCTTCTTCATTGCATATAATACAAATAGAGACTGTATCGTTTATATTCGTTATTCATTTTGTATTGTATTTCTACATTCGAATTTTATCTGATAAAATGTTAACAATGAAATATCTGATATTATCATCTATGATTTTCATCAATACGGTTTTATCAAATCCAATTACAAATTATACTCAAAGTCATAGAGGATGTGGACCATTTGGAATAGATATTGATACATTACTTGCGAAAGAAGGTGTAGGATCAATAACTCCATGTTGTGTTCAACATGATCAATGTTATTCAACTTGTGGTACAACTCGAGATATGTGTAATAATGATTTTAAGAATTGTACAACAACTGCTTGTAAAACTCAGCAAACTTCATCTTCTTCGAAGTGTCTTAACTATGCAAATATTTTATATCGAATCACATCAGTTCTTGGTATCCCATCGTTCGATATTAGTCAAGCAGTTGCATGTAATCAAACTTCTCAATTGGGTTAAATTCTATATTTGTTGACTAAAAATCTTTTAATAAACAGGCTTTTTATTGTCAAATATCGTTTTGTTTGAATAATTTATCATTTGAAATCATTCTAACACGAAAATCCTTTATTGGATTTCTTTGGAGAATCGGCATTTTGATGCTTTTTCAATAGATGAGCGATCGGATGATCAAAATAGATTTGCCATGAAGCTTCAATATATACGAAAACAAATGAAAAATATCGAGCGAGGTGTTTGTATAAAGCCGAATACGAAAGGATCGGTAGATCGTCGCTTGGTCATGAAATAGATCCGAAAAGTTGATAACATCGCATCTATAAATCAAGAAAATGTATTGTTGTTAAAAGACTGATGAAGAAAGGTAAAATCAAATGAATAATATTGATTATTTTATCATACTCTTCTACTCATTGACTTTGAAACATCATCACACAATTCATAAGAGAATCTTTAATAAGATTACGATTTAATGTTTTGTGTATTGTACTAATTAAAGGAATAATAAAACACTGAACAACTTTCTTTCTTTATAATCGATCGAATTATACACTTTTTACGACAATGACGACTCTTTCAAGTGCAATACATCAAGTCAACCAGTCGAAAAGAGGTGACAGAATAGTGAAATCATTTTGTAGCAAAGTACATGACCAAAACATAAATGTGCGATCGCTGTGGGGTATCATTAACAATGGTTGGAATATGTTATCATATAGAAAATACAAACAAATCTTATTTGACCACTTTAGAAATTATTGAAGCTTGTGATTATTGTAAAGAATGTGAAATAGTTGAAGAATTAGAATTGATTAGAGATGATCCACATCGTCTGATTATCGAATGTAGGAACGGTACTTTAATTTCTCTGTTAAAATTAAAGTAAAAGTGTCATTCATAAGTGAATGTTTCATGACAAGGGAAAGATTAGGTATAACATTACATTTCCTTTGAAAAACTTTCTCTTCAAGCTTCGTGATACGCAAGAGGGAAAAATGATCAACGTTTTCTACAATTTTGTATTTATCTATGTTATCTTTGCGTAAAAACACAAGATAATTTCAATGGATATTTTGAAGATTCGAAGAAATCTATTGAAATTATGAATGATATCAACCAATTCCAATTGATTTATTTCTAAAAATCATTTGAATTAATTGAAAATAAAAGATTTCCTTGGACTTCGAATGCAATAAAAACCACAAGAAATCTATTCTTTAGATCTTTGTTTATATCTTCGATTTAGTCTTACCTTTATTCGAATAAAAATATGTAATGAAAAAAAAATGACGAAGAATGTATTAAACATCTCAAGAAATAATTGAGAAGAAAACATGATACTTCTATCATCAAATTTGTTTAGTAATGAAAGATTTATTATCATATCAAACATCAATTAATGCAATTTCTCAGGGGAAAATATCAACAGATTGTGCTTAAAGTATAAAATTCCAATATTTTCTCGAAATTTTACCAATTGAGGAAAGTTTAAAATGTATTTGTGTACGGAGGATTGGAAAATTCGAGTTAAATTCTATGAATTCTGTTTGTAAACAATTGAAAAACTAAGATTATTACTTTTTTAAGAACAAAAGAGAGCATGTGCACATAAGTGAAGGTCTCTGTTAATACTTTTTTAAAACAATAATTCGAATCATAAACCGTGTGTATAAATGAAGAAAAATTATCTGTAAAAGTATTTGATAAGATAAACATTTTATCAAAACATCGATTAACCACGTTTGAAATATTATTTTCCATTCATCAGAAAAAACAAATCAACTTCATTAAAAAGTGCAAGAATATTCTAATTGTTTTCTAGAGTCTTTATGTCGTCAATTGACAATAATTCTGATCATTGTTACTTTTTATATTAAATTTGATTCGATGAGCTCTTCTGTTGATTCTTTTCATAGATAATGCACCAAATCAAACAATACCCGATGAAGATACTCAACATATATCGATTGAAATTATCTCTCAGGTTTTCAATGTTATGTTATATCGACTAAGATAATGTAATCATTATTAGGTAAAAATCATTTGGATTGGGATATTCTGTTGAGGGTCACTGTCAACGCAATGTTTGTCTGTAGTTGCTGATTAACAGACACAATAGACCATTGGTCCACAGATATTTTAGTTGAATTTGCAACATTTCCTGGTGTAGCAGGTGCTTTCATTGTATTCATTGTTGAAAAACGAGCAAAAAACATCGCGAAACATAAATGAATCCAATCATATTTCTAATTTCATAACTATTGTTATTTATTCTCTTTCTCAAAGAAAGCTTGTCAGCGCAGCCCCTTTGGGGCTAAAATGCCGAATTCACATACTTGTATTTGGAAAACGAGATTGTGGATTAGAATAGGATACTTAGGGAGTAAGCTCACTTTAAGATCATCACTCTCAGGCTGGTAGCATTTCTAGTAGTCACAAAAGGTATAACCAATTGATTCAATTGAAGAATCAAATATACAATTGACTGTCCTTAGTTTAATATAGAAATATTATGTGAGAATTATTTAGAATTCCAGACAAGGCGAGATTTTTCTTAGTAAAGTGCACGTTGGGCCATTTTCGCATATTTTCAATAATATCGAGTAAGGTCCAAACAGCACAGCAGAAAATAATGAATCTGCATTTGAAATGCAAATATTTTTACTTAAATGGTAAATAATAGAAATTTGAACACGCTGATAACATTTTTCTATGTTCCATAACTCTAATACTCTCTACATTTCTAATACTTCTATAGGTCATACGGTTACAATAATCGTTACAGTGCCTGCACCCCATGGGGGAGGGGTGGGGATCCAATGATTCCTGGGTATAAAACTTACACTCACTATTTTTCTTCGAAAAATAATGTGAGTTCCACAAAAGAACTCTGAGATATATGAATTGTTCGCTTGATTATGTGTTCGTATACTCTCATGATTTCTTCGATTCGTAAATAAATGTGAAAACTTCGGACTTTATTGAAAAGTTACACGCGCAACAAACAGTTTCTAAGAAAAGTCAATCTCTTTACAATGACTCACGAAAGATTCGGTCTCACCACATCCTATGAGACAGATTGAGGACATGTCCAAGTCTGTAGAGTTATAGCCCCATAATACGTTCAAACAGAAATTTTACTCAAGCTTTGATGAAGATCAATCGATCGTCTTTTTTTGCGTTTTTGACTTCATTATTTGTGTTGTAAATAATTACACTTTCGTCCTCAATAGAATGAAATTAAACTTTTATTATAATAACCCGATGTGTTTTACTGTTCAATTTTTACAAAAATATCAAGACAGATGTGATAATGAAAAATTCTACTTACACTCTTTTGTCCCTAAAGATCAAATTTACCGAAATTAATTTTAAAAAAAAGATATGATATTACTTTCCACTTATTTTCGTTTAATGAAAAATATTTATTCGGTAGATCGTCATCTTTTCTTGTTCTGTCATAGAATGAAAATTGATTGTATTACTCACATGTTCTTTTTTCTTTGTATTTTGACCAAAAACACATGCAATTAATGAGATATGCATGACTTACGCTCAAGTACTCTCACCTCTTCTTGCAAAATCACGAATCCTGAGTACTCTTTTTTTCTCTGATAAAGTCACAACTCATGCTTTTTCTACCTCACAACCTTAGTAAATGATAGTATAAAAGCACTGATCAATTTTCTTTGAAACACAGTATAAAATAGCTGTTTTCTTCAAATAGTTCTCTTCGTCAATCTCGTTTTCTTTCAATTGATTCTCAATACCGATTAGCAAATTTATTCAAGCAAAAGAAAGTAAGATTTACAGGACCATATTTATTATGGACAATAATTTATTGAAGATACTCAAACTTGTGATTTAACACACATGTTGAAATAATATCTTCATTGATGTGACTATATGGAATAGGTAGGTTAGGTTGTTTTCGAAAAGTCTAAGTTCCATTTGTTTATTTTAAGGTCTACGCGAAAAAATATCGACATATAATAAGTAGATTGTGAATAATTGCAAGTGAAAAAGTGCTCCAACTATATGGAAAGGATGGGCATCAACACTTTTAGCTGATATTCTTCAAAGTGCATTAAAATATGGTATTTAGAAAGTATTCAAAGGTGTTTATGGAAGTGTAGCTGAACAAAAATATAAAGGTTGTATGTGGTGTGATGATATCGCACTTTGTCCAATGGAAATGGTTTAAGTGAAAGTTCAAACAGGTGTGTCAAGAACATTTCCAGGAAATTTGGCAGCTGATGTTAATGAAATGAATACAAATCGACAAATAGCAAGATTCCATATATATGAATTTTACCACTTTGGTCGAGACGAAATTCTATACATTTAAAAAGGTATTTGTATTGATTCATTTCTCTCTCAATCTTTCGTTTAATATTTATTTTAAAAACAAGAAATCTGTCAGAAATTTCTCCATTGATTGTCAATTTACTCTTTTGCTATTAATTGGCGACGACATTAACATCTTCATCATCACTAAGCAGTTGGTATTGATTTACAAGTGGATAGATAAGTATAACCTATACACATATGAATATTTCTACTCATTTTCTTTCAACTTATTATTTAAAAGAAATAACTCTCATGAATTGTTATTTGTAATTGATGTAGAACTATGCCTTTTTTTTACAAGAATTGTTCTGTTTCACTTACATTACTATTTGCACTATTTTTCATAAACAGAGATTATGGTCAATGAGTTTATATTCAAACTTTTTTCTTTTCCTTTATAGATTATATCTATTGGTTATCAAAAATGTTAATAGGCTCTGTGCAAGCAGCATTTTTAACTTTTGCTGCCATTCTTATTCAAACAACTAAACATATACATTGTGATACAACATCCTCCAATGTATATAATCTCGATTCACAAATTGTTATCCAGCAAAATATGATTCAGAAAGGATTGGTTATTATGGAAGGCAAACTCACAAAACCTTTTACAAATGATCATATAAAATTATCTATCAATTATCAGAATATTCAAGGGAGTTGGATGGTAGGATGGTGTAAAACACTTTATTCTTACAATCAATATAATGAAAACGTAAGAGCCGCATTCGAGTTACCAGCATCTACACTGAACTCTTACAATGTAAAGATTGAATTAAGTTCTAATACGAACCTTTCCAGCTTTAGCAGTGTCGTTTGGGACAAAACAATTAGCCATTTTAAATTAGGTGACTACACCGGTATCAACTGTGATCTGGATGAAAATGAATATACCATCCTCTTAACACCGAAAAAAAGATGGTACTTTAATCACAGACGCTAATGGAAAAGTCACAGGAGTAAAAGATCGAGTGACCACTGCTTATTCTTGGAATAGGCTGAGCACCGGATATTCGTTGGACAATAAAAAGAATGATGTAATATTCTCACCTACAAACCCGGCGATATTGTTGACCGACACCAATGGTGCCAAATCCATTAAAATGGTCAATCAAGGAACTGCTGGTGACATTTTGGGTTCTACTCCTGAATTTATTTACAATGTAGGTCCGGGACATCCAATTCCGTATTTATACAGTTATACTGATCCTGTGTACATGTTTGCGGGCAAATTTTCAGTCAACGGATTTTTCATAAAATTCAGTCAATGGCCTGGGGAACCAAATGGTCCTGGATATCATAATTTTAAAAATCCTAATAGTCTTCAAAGCAGATATTTCAATTTATACAATACTATAAATGAAAAGTTGTCTGGTTTTATCACTGATCAGGAACCAGTAGTATTTGTATCAAGTGTCACCACCGGTTTCAGAGTTTATAAAAGTAACGGAACTTATGTAACTCTTACAGGTTACAGTAACTACGGTGCGTTATTTTTTGGATATGGTAATGATCAAGGAGGCGGTCGTAGAGGTCCGGGATCCGAGAACTTTATCGTTTCAAACACTTCTGAAATGACATTATATGGAATGGGCGCATTACGAAATAACTTTGTGAGTTTTACTCCAGGCTACCCATCCATTCGATCGATACAAGATATTGAAAAAGAAATTTCCAAATTCATCAAGTATACCGGCATCTTTGGAAATTCCATTGCATATGATGACACTTCTGAATGCGCAGCCGGATGTTTTGCAGCAAATTCTGGAGCTGTTTCAGATTATGTGGTTTTAGACTGGACAAGAGCACCAAACAGCTATATTTTCACAGGAAAAGATAAAAGTGGAAATGATGCTGACGGTATTTATATTCCTGTCAAGAAAGCTTATGAAATGTGGTCTAAAGGAGGTGAATTTATGAAAGACGAAAACGGAAATTACACTCCCATTCCATCGGGAATTGCCAAAGCTGGTTTGTACTGGGAGGATGAACCCGGATTGGTCAAGTCTATCACATTAGAAGGAACCGGTGAAAATGCCAAAATCAAAGTCTTATTGAACAAACTTAAAGAAGGAAATGCCGTTGTATCGTATCGAGTAAATGATATAGTGTACTGGACTTGGCACGTTTGGGTAACAGATGATCCAACTGTGAATGGTAGTACTTACCGTTTAGGTTTCGAGAAAGATAAAAATGGAAATCTTGCTACAGACTGGAAATGGATGGACAGAAATCTAGGCGCAACAAGTGCAAACTTCTTGGGCAACAACTGGCATAAATCTCAAGGATTACAATATCAATGGGGAAGAAAAGACCCTTTTCCCGCCCTTATGCATAAAGACGGAACGATGTATGAGATATCTGGAGAAATTGGTAATATTAGAAATGTAGGAGCTGTTTATACAACAGGATCAACTTCTGCATTACCGGTAAAATACAGAGGCAATTTATATCTACAAGACAATACGGGATATGACACTCCAAACGGAAATATTCGTTATTCTGTTCAGAATCCGATTCACATGATCATTCCGCCGCTCTATGTCAAAAAATATAATGACACGGTATTTAATAACGGCGAAGATATGTTTGTTCAGAATAGTGCTAAGGGGTGGTATCATCAAAAACGAACAACGTGGTTTTCTAAACAGAAATACAGAAATGATTTCAACAGTGTCGATCCTTCACAGAATGTTGCATGGGATCTTTGGGGTGATACGCGTGGTGGCAAGATAAGTGACCTAAATAATCCTCAATTAGCTGAAGAAAGTAAGCGCTATGCAATGAAATCTCCTTATGATCCTTGTCCGTGCAACTGGAGAGTACCATCATACTATGATAATATTGGCAGTCCTAACAATGATAACAATGCTTCACCTTGGGGAAGAATTGGAGGTGCGAATGATGTAGACACTTTTACTTCGAACACTTCGACATCGAGCACAAGATTCCCTGGAATTAAGATATATCCCGGCTTAGGATATGATTTTACAGGCGTCACAGGTCGTAATTTAGGATTAATTCCAATTAATGGAAACTATGAGTACTATCCTAATTATGTTACGGTTACAAGTGTAACTGCTTCGGGACTAGTAATACCTAAAATTGTGTATCAAGATGGTTCAGCTGATGGTGCATTAGGTTCTTCTACTTTCTCAGTGGGCGCAGCTGGTAGCGGACCTTGGTATGGACCGAGAGGACTAGGATATGTTTCAGACCCAGCAAATGTTCAAGAAACTGCTAATAATTTTGGATGGTACACTATGAACTCTCTTTCACATGATGGAAACACCCATGAAACGGTCGGAATCAGATGTATTAAAGACCCAAACAACGCTTATATGCCAACTGCTTTTGAAACTGAATTTATTAGCAGTTCGAATGAAGAATATGCATTATCTACTCTAAATACCTGGACAAAAGAACCAAACAGCTATGTAGAGTATACTAACAATTCTTTGATTACACAAACTCCGGCAGATAAAGATCGTGTTATTGAGATTCCATTGCGTAAAGCCTATGCAATGTATAAGTTACATTTAAGCACAACAGGTGAATATCCTCAAGGAAGCGTCAAATCAACCTCAGTAGTGTGGACTACTAATACAGGTTTGATCCAAAACATGCAAATAATCGATGGAACTAAAGAAACGGCTAAACTTATAGTTACTTTAAATGAAAATCAATACGGTAATGCTGTGGTCGCGTTCCATTTAGGGAACTCTGGTCAGTGGGTAAATGGGAAAATGCAGGATCCTATTATCTGGAGTTGGCATATCTGGGCTCCCGAAACAATAGTTGGTTCTTTAGATTACGAAACTGAAACCTCAACGAATGGGGGTATTATAAATGCATCTAACACAGCTTTTGTAAATCCTGTGAAAAGTATTGGCGTTCCATTGAAGACTACTTTCATGGATAGAGACTTAGGAGCTTTAATGATGTTCCCAGAAGAAGCTTCTGCAGGTGATGCATCGTATATTTACAGCTTCGTCCCTCAGATCAGTAAAAGTGGAGGACTACATTTTCAGTGGGGAAGAAAAGATCCTCTTCCTGTCTTTATTAATGCCGGAGGACATTATGATTTTGGAAGTGCAATTGGAAGTCAGGGGTCTATTTATAAAAATATGGCTAGATACACAATCCGTGTTCAAAGTGGACCGATAAGTAATGGTATAATTCCTTATTCAGGAACAATCGATAGTGCAAGTTATGCTACAAATTATGCTAAAGAATTTTCAACGGATTATTCTTCAGTATTTGCACCAGCAGATTCTAAGAAAGATAAAATTAAGAAAGTATTGATGTATTCGGTAAAGAATCCATTATACTTCTTATATCAAAATCCTTCCAATGAAACGAATCAGTTCAAAAAAGTTCGTGACTGGATATCTGATGAAAACGGACAGTTTACAGACAGATGGGGTCACGGCACAGAAAAATCACCTTTCGATCCATGTCCTCAAGGATGGAGAATTCCTGATACTTTCTATGCCAGTATGCATGCTACATTACCTAAGCTAAGCAATTTCTATTCTTACTGGGCATTATCTAGTGGAAACAATCCTTGGTATTACAATGGTTATCAAGCTTCTGGTACAGGCAAGTATGGACTTTTCCCATCAGCTGGGTATTCAGCTAAGAGAGATGCTTATTCTCCTGCTAATCAGTTTTATCCAGGCAGCGTATCTCTAATTTACAACTATCCTGCAACCAGATTCGGATTTGTTCTCAATAACAATAGATATAAAATTGGTAACTATGCCAACAACGGAATCAGAGGTTTCCAAGGAGGAAAAGATCTTACTTTAGTTACGATTGACGGTACAAGCAGATTAAGATTTAATATTTCCGGAGTATGGACTGCATCGCCTACCGATGTTTACTCTGGAACAGCGATAGGTTTACTTTTCAACATAGATTCATCATCTGAGTTCATTATGCAGACCGGATATCCGTATTATCCTCAAGCAGCAATGTCTTGCCGTTGCGCAAAAATCAAGTATGATGGAAATGGAAGTGAAATAGGAAGATACGAACCTACAGCTATTGAAGTTCCGAAAAATGCAACTGCGTAGGCGTCAAACATTATTACTAAAAAGTAAATCGAAGAAATACAGAACCACAAGAAAAAACTTACAATTTTCCCAAATCCTGTTGCTATACGCAACATCCGTTCTTCCTTGTCTGGATCATTTATGCAAACGATATCTTTTCTTCCCTTTTTTCAAATAAAATAAACATTCCAAGCCGAAAGAAAATTTTCTTCTAATTCCTGTGAAGACTCTTTTATTTCCTTCTCTAGAAAAAGGTTATAGCTTAGATACGGCCGTTAAACTGCTAAAACTTTGCTTTATATAATTCAATCAGATATTGTAACATTCTGTAGGACAATGGCAAATTAAAGATAATTATTAGAAAATGATTGATTCAAGGGTTGTTGCCGTTGAGGATCTCCAACCTGATGTCGGTTTTTAGGATTCGCTATTCCTAATCTCTTCTTTTCGTTCCTGCTGAGAGACTTTAGTTGGTTCCGAGGTTTAGCTAGAATTTTTTCAAATAATCACTGAGACCAACTCGTATAAATGTGATCTCACAAGGAAACCACCTGAGATGTTCAAGAGCTGTTAGGCTCAGAGTATGATGGATAGGTAGGGCACACCTAGTTGTACTTGAAACCAGTATTGATTCGATTGAAATCGATGCTGAAACGAATTGGCTCAAGAAAATATCGAATCTTACATACAAACTTATAGTTTTGATTTTCATTCATCATTTCGACAATATTTTGTTGGTCCAGCTCTTATTCAAAGTTATTCAATCAAATATATTGCTGAAAAAATGTTTTCACTTTCAGTTGATTTTCGTTTTTCTGAATCAATTCATTTAGCTATTGTGAATGGACTAGTTGGAAATCTATATATATAAAGAAGAAAGTTTGTCTGTCTGTCTGTCTGTCTGTCTGTTCGCTATGCATTCAGCCCCTGTAGCAGCTATCGGCGTGAAACTTTCCACAATGCTTCCTGAGACCCNCAACAACGGAATCAGAGGTTTCCAAGGAGGAAAAGATCTTACTTTAGTTACGATTGACGGTACAAGCAGATTAAGATTTAATATTTCCGGAGTATGGACTGCATCGCCTGCCGATGTTTACTCTGGAACAGCGATAGGTTTACTTTTCAACATAAATTCATCACCTGAGTTCATTATGCAGACCGGATATCCGTATTATCCTCAAGCAGCAATGTCTTGCCGTTGCGCAAAAATCAAGTATGATGGCAGTGGAAGTGAAATAGGAAGATACGAACCTACAGCTATTGAAGTTCCGAAAAACGCAACTGCGAAGGTGTCAAACGTTGTTACTAAAAAGTAAATCGAAGAAATACAGAACCACGAGAAAAAACTTACAATTTTTCCAAATCCTGTTGCTATACGCAACATCCGTTCTTCTTCCTTGTCTGGATCATTTATACAAGCGATATCTTTTCTTTCCTTTTCTCAAATAAAATAAACATTCCAAACCGAAAGGAAAATTTTCTTCTAATTCCTGTGAAGAGTCTTTTATTTCCTTCACTGAAAAAGGATTATAGCTAAAATACCGCCGTTAAAATGCTAAAATTTTGCTGTATATAATTCCATCAGATTGTAGCATTCTGCAGGTCAACGGCAAATTAAGGATAGTTATTAGAAAATGATTGATCCAAGGGTTGTTGCCGTTGAGGATCTCCAACCTGATGTCGGTTTTTTTGGATTCGCTGTTCCTAATCTCTTCTTTTCGTTCCTGCTGAGAGACTTTAGTTGGTTCCGAGGTCTAGCTAGAATTTTTTCAAATAATTACTGAGAGCAACTCATATAAATGTGATCTCACAAGGAAACCGCCTGAGATGTCCAAGAGCTGTTAGGCTCGGAGTATGATGGTTAGGTAGGGCATACCTAGTTCTACTTGAAAAAACCAGTATTGATTCGATTGGAATCTATGCTGAAACGAATTGGTTCAAGAAAATGTCGAATCTTGCCCGAAGGTATGTTATGTACAAACTTATGGTTTTTATTTTCATTTATCATTTCAAGAATATTTTGTTCGTCAAGCTCTTATTCAAAGTTATTCAATCAAAAATATTACTGAAAAAATGTTTTCACTTTCAGTTGATTTTCGTTTTTCTGAATCAATTCATTTAGCTATTGTGAATGGACTAGTTGGAATTATTTATATGAACAACATGAAAAATTTTATTAAACAAAACACAAGAGAATTTGCTTATTCCAATTGGTTCGTTTTTTTTTCTTCGAAACTCTTGAAACTACATCTCAATTGCCTTCGAATTCCATTGTTTTTCTCGCATTAAATGATATACTTCATTCACCATCAAATCGAATTTAGTTAAATTACCTGAAAATCTTATCATTGAGTGGATGAATTTGAATTTCTCTTTGAATGATAATGAAAATCTACGGAAATTTGTTTCAAGTCTTTCCAACCAATGTGAAATTTATTCAAAAATAATTTTTCAACAATTATCTTCATTGAATAATAAGCCAAATGAATATCTTATCGATTTAATTCTCCGAACAAATGATGATCGAATATGTAACAAAGATTTCATTCCTAAATGTGATATCCATCCGTTGATACTCTCTGNATTAATAAATCAGTTTCATTTAATCAACTAGAGAATGAAGTATTGAAGACAGGTGAAAAATTAGCTGAAATTCCTGTAACACAATTAGCCACAATGAAATTAATGGTTAATCAAGTTTATGAAAATCAAGGTTTACATACAACACAATTATTAGGTTGTATTTTGGATGGTTCAATGCGTCATACTCCTGAAGCGATGAAATTTGTCGAAACAGCTGCTCAATTTGGTGTTCAACAAGCAATCAAACAACGTGATGCACCTTTTCACGATTATAGCCAGGCTGATGAAATGAATCGTCCTAAGATTAAACATAGATTTTCTTATCAACAAGGAAAGATAAAAAGCAATTTGTAAAATAAAACGGATTCAATAAAAAGAAATGAGACAATAATTTTACTTGTTCATTTGAAAGAATATGTTTGTTCTATCACAATCGACTTTATTGAGCGTTCAATATGAAAAATATCTAAACGTATGGACAATATTTTCCATTGAATTTTGAATATACGTATCATGCAGTAAATGGATCGATGGAGTAATGAACGTTCTTTTAAAGATTCATCGGAATATATAGTACGATAAAAATGTCGAAGTCTGTATGTAGTGTGTAATAGGTGATGATCGGATTTTTTATTTGAAGCATTGTGTATTTATCTATGTATTCGAAGAGGATGATTTTTCGTCTCTCCTCTATAAATATTGTTGTTTTTTCAGTACCGATATATTTCATTATCGAATCAACGAAGTTAAGGGCAACCAATGAGTCTTAACTAAAGCAGGTTGGTTTTCTTTGTGATAAACTATCGTTGAAAATCATTTGAATTGTATTGGAAATTCAAACACTTAAAACAAATGTCAATATTAATGACAAAGATAACAGAAGAAATAGAAACATTCATCGTCTTTAAAACTTACATTTCTTTTCTCTCTTTAGAAGTTCCGAATTATTACAAGGTAAGAGAATTTATGGAAGATTTGAATTATTTTCATCGTGCGTTTTTGTATTCAGCAATTTAAAAAAGAAGCTGTTGGTAATACTACAATGACAATGGAAGAGTTTCGTAAATTTTGGCAAAAAACCGTTGAATCTGATAAAATAGACGCGGCGTTACATTTGAGTATGTCCTTCGATAAAGTTTTTTGAATGTTCTTATCGATTGTTTTAGCCAAGTATTCGCTACATTTGATACAAATAATGATGGAGCCATAAGTTTAACTGAATTTATTTTCACGATGGCTATACATAGGAAAAAGACTATAGATGAAGCTTTGGACTTTTCATTTGGTGCATAGGAATATTTTTTCTCGAGGTCATTTATTAGAGATGAAAACTGAATATTTAAAATGGATTTTATCAAATGATGGATTAATCGATTTTGCAGAATTAATTCGTGTGAATTGAAACAGAAGATCACTTTATTTTCTTACAGGCGGAAGTGATACATGAAAAAGACAAAACAAAAGAGGAGATAAATGAAATTGCTGAAGGTATTTTCGAACAATTTGGTCTGAAACTTACGGAAAAAATAAATAAAGAACAATTTCTTGAAGGGTAAACGATTTAAATATTTCTCAGTTTTTTTCTTTAAAAAGTTTTGTTTTAGATGCAAAAAGAGCAAAAAATTCGCTGCTTGGTTTGGTCTATATCAGATTCTCCACCAAACGTCATATTTCGCTGATTGAAGTTCAGTTTTTAACGATTTTTATTAACATCGCATTCATTTTTATGAAACGCTGAATCTTTTATTTAAGAAATTTTGTCGAATATCTCCATAATGAAAGATTTTCACTACAATCGTCGCTTTTGATGGCAAAAGAATGTAGGAGAACCCACATGTATTGTCAAACGGACGGTGAAAAGAATAAAATCAAATAAGTTCGCTTGTCGATTTCAAATTTGTACGTTCTGTTGAAAGCATTTCCAAGAACTTTTCTTTTTGTGTCTTCTGTTGTTTTGCTCTCCACAATGTTATTCTCAAAAGTAACTAGGTGGAGTCCGTTCTTGAGCAAATAACGCGAAAAAGCACGTGAGTTTTCTTTTTATTCCAATAGTATAAGAATGAATGAATCGAAATCGAAACCGTCGTTCAATATTCGACAATCACGACAACGCATAGCTCAAAAGCTATCTTCTTCTTTGGGTAGATATCAGTATTGATGAAAGAAGCAAGGATTACCAAAACTCATTGGCTCAACTGAAGAACGTAGTGAACAACGTTCATCTGTTTACACAATCGGATCAATACATTCAATTGCTCAATCAAATAGACAATGAACGTGTGTTCATCATCATATCCGGATATTTAGGTCAACATCTGACTCCTGAAATTCATGGAATGTCACAGTTAGATACAATTTTCATCTACTGTGGTAATAAATCCAGACACGAAGAGTGGATTAAAGACTGGACCAAAATTAAAGGTGTTTTATACAAATATCAACGAGATCTGTCAAGAATTGCAATTGTCTGTTAAGCAATCTGATCAAGATCTTATAGCTGTAAGTTTTGTCACAGCAAATTAAATGGCTTCAACTGAGAATTTAAATCGAATCGAACCAACATTTATGTACACTCAAATATTCAAAGAAATTCTTCTTGATATCGGTTACGATGATGATCCTATGCAGAACTTAGTCAATTGTTGTCGCGATGTTTTTTCCGGCAATTTACTTGAATTACAAATAATTCAAGAGTTCGAAAATGATTATATTTCAAAAAAAGCAATATGGTGTTATACACGTGAATGTTTCACGTACAAAATGCTCAATCAAGTATTACGAATTTTAAATGCCTATATCATCATAAATATGGGCTTCTTTCTATGTGATGTGCATCGACAAATACAAGCTCTGTACGAAGAAAATGTTAGTGCCTATGATGGCAAATCTTTTGTGGTTGATCGAGGACAAGGTCTTACGAAATTAGATTTCGAAAAACTCTAGAAAGCAGAAGGCGGACTGATAACCTTTAATAATTTCTTGTCTACCAGTACAAATGAAAAAGTATCGCTCATTTTCGCTCGAGATGCTTCGACAAAAGTCGATACGGTGGTCATTTTCTTCATAATGTCCATTGATCCTTGTTTAACATCGACACCACTTGCTTGCATTAAAGAGGAGAGTTATTTTAAGGGAGAAGATGAAATTCTCTTCTCAATGCACACTGTTTTTCGAGTGACTGTAATTAAAGAAATAGTTAATAAGAGTCTACTTTATCAAGTCGAATTACAGTTAACCTCGGATGATGATCAAGAATTAGAAGCACTTACCGATCGAATACGAGAAGAAGTTACTGGTTCCAGGTGATTGAATCCGATTTCGGTTCAGTTCTTGTCGAACTTGTGTCAGTAGTTTCATTCTCGGAAAGTTCTTACATCTTCATAGATCATAATAGTTGTTCTAATTCTTGAAATTGAGCTATCTTATATGAGTAAAAAGATTCAAATGATGTGGGCAGTATCCCCGGCTATTAATACTACAACCAATGGCGTTTTCGCTCCACCAATAGTATCTCAATGATAGCCTTCATATGGAGTGAAACTTTAGGTCTTGTAGCACTAGGCGTCAAAATCGAATGAAAATTGTGGCGGCAATGATACGAAACGTAAATCACCAATAATATTTTTATAGCAAAGACACTATATTGTATTTTAGACTTTCGATCATTTAATCCAAACGTTGTATGAAAAAGCGGAAAAAAGTAAAAAAAGCGGATGGTTTCCGCTAAAAGCGGAAAGAATGGTAACCCTGCTTAATATATCGATTAATAGTAGGCGATAATCATTTGCGTAATGACTGTTAATAATATGATGAAAATTGTTGGAATAATAATTTGTTGCTGTGAAGCATTACTTGTCGTTGTGTAATCTATTTGTACGACATTCGTTGCAATGCCACACATATTTTTACCGCGGGCAATGCGTATATAACCGTTCTCTCCCCAATGATCACCTATAAAAGAAAAATCGAAACTAATGAAAAAACTCTATGATTGATATGATTATTTACCCCAGTTATTTTTGCATATCCAAAACAGTTTACCACCTTCAACACCATAACCAACAATTTGTAACTAAATAACAGAATATTATTTGATGAAAGAGATGTAATCACGGAATTTATTCAGTTTATACCACGTGAGCAACCATTGTTTCTGAACACCCATCATTATCATAGATGCCTCCTTTATACTCTGAAAATTCTTCACCACTAGCATCCATTTTTGCCCAAAGCGTTGATTTTTGTATCCAAGCTAACATTGTATTCTCATCATTATTTGCCAATCTCTTAATTGTGTCGAACTGTATGAATTTTAAAGTAATATTCTACATGATATATGCATATATAAGATACATACGGTTGCAAATGGCTTGCATTGATTTGGTTCACATTTATGACGAACAGAAGAATAATCACTATTTTTACAAATACCACTCATATTTTGTATACATTCGAAAGTATCAATTGGCTGTGGACAACAATCAAATATTCGAGAAACACTACCTTCAATAAGTTGTTTTCTTTCAATAGCAAAAAGACTTTCCACAAGTTCTATATAAAACATATTTGACGATACAACTTCCTTTACAGATCTATTTCGATAATCGTACCAGTACTAACAATAGCAGAGACGTGTTCTCCAATTATTCCTAGCTTTTTCACCGGTGAGACGACACCTTTTACACGCCAATCAAGTGATTCAGGAAAATTTTTTACATCAATCGATTGCTTCGATGATATTGGATACGATTTAAAAGATAATTTTTTATCAGAAACAACTTCCTACAATATGTTTTGCTTTTTACAGTGAAACTTTTTTGTAATAATGACCTACATGAACACGTTCATCAGTTAAATCTTTAATTCCCGTAGTTAATGAGGCGCCTGAATGAATCTGTTGATAATTTTGTATGCGAATAACGTTATCAATGAAGGTTTGTTCACGATCAGATTCTTCATCGTTATTTGCATGTTGTTTTTTATAATCATGCTTTAATTTATTCCATTCAAGTGATAAATCACACACAACTGTACAAAATAGAATACAAAAATGAAATAGCTAAAAACACAACAAAAAATAAGTGAAATATTCTCAATAGAGATAATTATTTACCTTCATTGTTAAAATCTAAACACCATATTTCTGTTCTTACATTTAAAAAAAACGACTATCTACACTTATCGAAAAACAAATATAAGCAAACTGATAAATAACGAAGTTATTAAATATAGAAATTGAATAAAGTACGAGATAGCTGAGGTCGAAATGAGTACGTTAGATTCTATCGGTTATATATTATCGGATTCCGATGTTTTTCGTTTTTTCCGTCCATATCCAGAAATCTAATCATTCAAGTCCAAATCGAATTCATATTTTCACAAATATAGGCTGTCTTATGGTCTGATTTCGGCCATAATCAAACTCCTACACCTCCCACATCCTTATCCTACTGACTGTGAAGGTATCGGTGATGAATACAGCATTTGTGACGATGGCAACAATGATTTTCTAATTTTATCTGATGGGCAATTAGATATTTCATTCGAGTGAATTATTTCCCAAGATTTATGAGTTAGAGAAGTAGAAATGTCAACTTTCGTTTTTTTGAAAGATCAACAAAAAACGATTGAATACCACCGTGCTTTGGTTCCTTTTTTATTTCACGACATTAAGAGATTTTATTTATTTTTATCAGAATCAATAAATTTTTTGTGTATATAACTGGCTATTAAGATCATAAGGAAATAAGTCATTAGCGGAATAAAATCCGCCGAGTGACGTTTCTGTCAAAGTGATATCTCTATTCGAAGAAATAACTCACCTTAAAGAATTCGTGTAACTCATCTATGAATCTAATACTATTTAAAAAGGTTGCTTGTTCGAAAACTTTGTCTCCGAAAGCATTTTAGCTCGATCGATCGTATCATGTTGGAAATCAGAAAATAAATGAAGAAGATGAGGCAACAGAAGAAGTAATCTTGAATAATTTCAATTGTCCAAACAAAACATTTTGGTAGTGAAAAATTTCATGTAGATAGGCAAAGAAACAGATGGCAGCGTTGGCATCAAGTTTTTAGGTACGCGTACCTGTGAATATAATTACATATATAAAAGGCAATACTTATTTGAATCAATATCGATACGCACATTCATTATAATATAATATGAAATTAGTTTAAACGGGAGGTGTAGATAGAGCGGTGCTTCCAGATTATTCATTGATAGAAAATTTTTATATTTTTATGGGAAGTTGGAACCTTTTGCGACTGGTTTTCTTTCTAAATGCTTCGTCTTCAGTACTAAATTCGAGTATTTTGCCATTCTAAGTCAATAATATACACGTAAAGATAAGGAGAAAATCAAAGTAATAAAGAAAAACATGAGAAAAACGACAGATGAACATTGTTGTGAAGAAAAGTACCTCTCTCTCAGTACATATTCTCATACATATCGCCATTCTTCTCCAGAACAACATCGCCAGTAGTCATCCATCGATAAAAGTACGTTTTCTTATTTTGCGTCTTCATAGAGCGTCGCTATGAGTCTATCTTTTTCGAAATTTTTAAATCATTAAGACATCAGCGTATGGATATCACTGAGAATCTTTTCATCTTTCCATAGTAATAGAAAATCTTTAAACTTGAACTAACAGATCTGCAAAATGAATTGCAGTTAAAAATTTTCGGAAGGGGTATCATCTATATATTGAGTATTTATCGCTAGAATAAAGAAAATTTTATTAAAGCGGACGAAAGGAATGTTAAACAGTTCGTTTTAGCACAAAAAAATGAATGCCGAGATAGAATGTACTTAGATTTCGAGGAACATCATGATGAAATCTATTTTTATTCAGCATGTGTATTTTATCTCAGACTTTATACTATGAAATAAAACGTTAAAATCTATAAAATTTGAAATTCTTCCATTGTTCAGTATCTGTAAATAAGACATATTCTTTTTTTTTGAGAGCACTATGATTTTGACTCTTAGTTATTTTGAAAGACTCTTTGTGAAAGTATTCATGTTGTTACACTCACCAAGAGCCTCGTAAGACAAAGATAGACAAAGCAAAAAGGACGAGAGTAAAATCTAGAAAGTCAACGCAGAATCATTTGAAAAATTTGAATTATTTTGTATTATACTGTCAGTGCATTGTCTCAAACCACGGCAACGAGAAATGATAGAATATTTGAATTCAAAAGATTCTATTCCTGTATATTAGATTCTTCACAACAATAGTTTTCATGAAAACTTCGAAAATTGATTTGTAAAATATCCGAGCACAAAAAAAATGGTTAGTCACCATTGAAGTCATGCGTTGAACATAAGATCCCCTTGCTAATTGCCAAATGAAATATTTTATTGTCATGGAATAGTTTTATACGGGTAAATGGAAATATTTGAGTATTATTACAAGTTTTCTTTAGTAAATCGAATTCATAAATAAAGATCTTGTTGAAACCTGGAGGTAAACAGGATGAAATAAACAAAACAGGTAGAGTAGATGAGACTACAATATTTTCAACATTTTCTTGTTGAAGAATAAAATAAAAGCGAGTAGTTAGTTGTCAACACAACTTAGCAACTCTAAACTTCTACGGAAATTGTGAAAATTCCTATTAAGTTCTATTGTTTTAAGTATTAAAAATTTATATACAAGACACCGTTGAACAGAATATTCGTAACAGTATTATATTTTGGTTTATTCGCATAGGAAGAATAAGAAGCAAATAAAGGATAACGTTATTGTTCTTATTGTAAAAAGTGTTAAGTAGATCAGAGAAGAAAAAAAAAGCATTGCATCTTTGATTATTGTAGAAGTTCTCGTTCTCCAATAAAATCGTTCTAGGACAAATTGATATCCATGAAGAAATTGAAAAGTTATTTATTGATTGTGTTGTTATTGAATGTAACAAGTTGGGTGTCAGCAACTTCTTTGTTTTCACGTGTTAAAATATCAAAAGGTGAAAATTTGAAAAGAGCAGCGACCTATAAAGTGAGAGACCCATTCTATGCTTTGGATGATCCTTCAGTAAATCGTGCAACATCTGAACATTTTCAAATTATTTGGGGAAATGGTGACACAACTGGAACTGTAAATTCCGCGTTTGTTCAAGGCAATTTAAAAAACCTTGAAGCCATTCGTTCGTTTTACATCGACGTAATAGGACTTGGAGATATTGGAGATACCAGGAATCCGTCCATGCCTGGTTCCTATAAATCGAATGTCTACATTGCGCTTAGTGGACTTGATAAGATTAATGACGGCTGGGCATATGTTTCCACAGACGGCGATGGGTGTGCTTATCAGGTGCTGATGCCAGGTGCTATGCGTGTAGATCCGCCAAGTTGGGTAGTTCCTCATGAACTTGCACATGTATTTGTTTTCCATAATCGTGGTATTGTTCCTTATGTTTGGGGTGAATCAATAGCAAATTACTTGCGTAATGAATATTTGTATAGTGATTACTATAAATATGGCGAAACAGTCTATGGTCCCGCGTCTGACTTTTTTCCAGCCTTTTTATTAAACCCGGAATCACATTTTCCAAGTGGTAAGAACTGGTACGACATATGGCCAATTTTCACTTACATAAACGAAAACCCAGACAACATCGCAGGACTTGGTCATCAAGCAGTATTAAACATAATCACCCACAAAAAAGAGACACCAACGTTTTTCACAACTATATCCGAAGTAACTGGTGTTTCTATCAAAGACATACTAGGCGGATTGAGTAGAAGATTGGTAACAATGGATTTCAAAGCAAAAAGATATTATTTAGAACATTTGGATACCTTTCTAAAAGTCCCGGGACATTCGGACAAGATTTACACGACATTACAAAGTGAAAGCGGTGGGTGGATGGCTGTTCCTGATAATAAAGCTCCACAGCAAGCAGGTCACAATATTATTCCTCTGGGTGTATATCCGGGTAAAACTTCCATTACTGTTAACTTTCAAGGAATGAGTACGGCACCAGGTGCTGACTGGCGAGTCAGTATTGTTACTGTAACGTCGAATAAATCGTCTCGATATTCTTCCATGTGGAACAACGGTAAGCTTAGCGTCTTTCATCATAATTAACATGATCCATTGAAAAAACGACTCGTCTTAATCAAGTTAATTCAGTGATTCGAACAATAATACATTAAATTAAATCGAAATATTTTGATTCTTCTTTACCATAGAATTTTCTTATTCTTGCATTATTAATATGTCCAACTACTTTGTTTTCTTTTTCTTTACAGGTGCTAATACTATGAATTTGCAAGGAGATGAGAAAGCTATTTATTTAGTTATTATTGCAACTCCATCCAATATGGTATTCCTTGATCTTGAACAAAATGGCATCACATTTCCTTATAAAATACAAGTAACAACACAATAATTGAAAAACGACTTGGTAAAATTATTTTTTTCCTTATATTTATGCTGTACGTGAAATGATATTTGAAATGAATAAATATAAGCAGGATTTACATGAAAATTCAAATTAATTTTATTTATTTTCATCAGAGATCTGTTGCTAGTAAAATAATTGGTACTTTCGTACTTTTTACCTAAAAATCTACAGTACGTAATACACGCGCTAGAGTATAAGTACTTTTACTTTATACTTACCTTGTGTACTTTACACTTATGCTTCAGTACATTCCATTTAACTACAGCCATACTTAGTACAGATACTACAGTACGTTTTGACTGAGTACCGTTACTAAGTCCAAATATACTTAAAACGGATCATTCTTTTTGATAAAATGTCTCCAAACGCTCAGTTATTGATTTTCAATGATGTTTCCATAAATTATGTTTGCGATGTGCATATACTAACATGAATGAACGCTGTAACGACAAACTGGTTGAGTAGCTAACCACTTCTCAGGGTATAGATGCTTATTGACTACTCTACATGACCAGAATGTGCCTATTTCACAATAAGACACGCTTATATAGAGAAGAGAGACAGAGAGAGAGAGATGACCCGGAGATACTATGATATAGAGGTGAGAGAATAAAGAACAGAAAGAGATGAACGATATCATTATCGTTACAAACGCAACAGCATAATCTTTTTGATTTTTGAAAGAATATCCACTATCAAAGTTATTCATATGATATAGTGAAATCTTATTTTCCGTTCGATAGAATACGCAGATATCGCTTCATCATACTCGTAAGAAAATTTGAATCAAGAAAGAAGTAAAACCTTTTTATTAGTTAGATTATAAAATCGGTTGATAAAGATAACTTCTATGAAAAAAATCGATGCTCAAGTTTCATTTGGTGGTGTGAACGTCATCTTCTTTGGTGATTATTTACAATATCGGCCAGTCTCTGATTCACCATCGCATACTGATTTTTCATTATCATCATCATCAAAAAAGAAACAAGGAAAAATACCATCTGAAAAAGAAATTCAACAACGTGTTTCACGTTCTTTAATTCTTCAAATGAATTGTGTGGTAAAGCTTACACAACAGATACGAACAGAAGATATACGATATCTTCAATTACTCGATCGGCTTCGTCATGGACAATGCAATTATGACGATTATGAATTATTGCAGACACGAGTTGTTGGACAACCATCAATAGAATCTCTGCATGATTCGCCATGGAACAAAGTAAATAAACTTTTNAATATCTAAGACACGTTTCAAATATTATTAAATATTGTAGCTAAGCCGAGAAAGAACTGAACAAACTGTATAACATTATCGGTCCATTACGTATATGTCATGTTAAGCACATCGTTTTCTTACGCCCCAAGTTTATATTATTATGTTATCGAGACTTGCAGCGGGTACCTCCGCTAGTATTCATATGAACAACATGAACAATTTTATTAAACAAACCACAAGAGAATTTGCTTATTCCAATTGGTTCGTTGTTTTTCTTGGAAACTGTTGAAAGTACATCTCATATATCTTCGAATTCCATTGTTTTTTCTCGCATTAAATCATATATTTCATTGAATATCTTATCGATTTAATTCTCTGAAAAATATTTCGAAAGTGACAAAGAATCACACGAAATCAAACTTCGAAAACTTATCAAAGATCATAAAGATTATCTGGGAAATGTTCAGAAAATAATATTTCAACTGATAGAATTGTTCCTTTCATTGAATTGATTTGTTTAAAAGGATTCTGATGGGCATCGATTTATTTGAAGTTTAAAAACAGTCAAACTTTTTCTTTAGCACTCAATCGTTTCAAACGAATTCGATTCTATTTGAGTTCTCCAAACATGAAAATCACTTCTCGTTTCTCATCATTGAGTTATTCAGAACAACAAATTCTTGGTTTTGATATAACGCGAAATTCTCTAACTGATCCTTTCAAAGAAAAAGTCATAGATTTATTCAATTCTCTTCCGAAATGTTTCCATCAACTATACATTCAAATAGATTTATTCCCATTAATTGTATTTATATCCCAATGTTTTCGAAATCTAACAATTCCCCCATCTTTTCGTATCTTTTCTTTGGATTCCAATTCTCATTGACAATCTTCATTGAATCCAATACAAATTCCATTCGATCCAAATCACAACGAATCTTTCATTGCTTTTCATCGAAAGAAATCTTTTTATTCGTAAAAAAAAGGGCAAAGCAATTTGTGATATTTTCAAACAAATGATGATCTATTTGATTATTCTCAATTTAAATCCACAAAAATTTATCAAGATATGAATAATAAAGTCAAAGAAGTCGATCCAATTCTTCTCTTCTGATGCACAAGATTTGAATATCTCTTCATCAATACATAACAAAATCAGAGAAATCGGTCAGTTCTGATCTGAAGAAAATGACATCGACGAAAGTCTTATAGATTAAATGAAGAAGAGATTACGGAAATAAGTGAATATATCGAAGATCTTTTGCATATAACTCCGCATTACAATTAATTCGATATCGATGAAATTTTAATTAATAAAAGAAAGATTTATTAAAAAGAATCAATTACATTGAATTAAATTATTTGAATCTTTTCTTAATTCTTCTTATAATTCAACAAACTTTTATTGAATAATTATTTGATTTTATTTGAGAAAAATCAAATCGATGTCTTTACATTTATCAAAAGATTTCTTCATTTACCTGTTCGAATATGTTCGTTTACAAATTATTCAAAATTCAATTATTGAAGATCTCTTGACGAATTGTTCATTTACTTCTGGAAATGTTTTATCCAATTTAAATGAAATTATCGAAACAATGCAAAAGAGACTTTCTTCTCTTTATCACCAATTCAATTGTAAAATAATTGTTAGACGAACAATGTTTTGTTTATCTTTGAATTAATCAACAAAGAATACAAATAATAATATTTTATATTTTCAAAAGAATTCTCTTATGACCATTGAACAAAATTCAAATTACTCGAAACATATGATGATCTCTTTGAAATTCGATCTGTATAACTGTTTATCATCGTGTTGATTATTCGAATTTGAATTTTCGTACTCGAAAGATAATCGTCGATTAGATTCAATCGCATTGTTATCAACTTATCAATAAATTTGTTAAACATTTGTATAATTATCTTCACAAAAATAATAATTAACAATTTATTTCAATAAATCGATATTGAGAAACTTCAATTGGATTTTATTAAAAAAAGTTCAACTCGAATAAAGCATTTGAAAATGTGAGGGAAAAGTCGATCAGAACATTTATATAAGAATTGTTATTTTGAGAATTTTATTTTCGAAATAAATCTTTGTTTTATTGAGTTGATTATCAACATGTTTATCAATGAAATAAAGAAAAATATTGTTGTAAATCGCATTAAATTCTTTTTCTATCTTTATGAAAATGTTCTCAATCAATACAATAGGATGAAAGTATTTCTTATTAAATATCAATCGAAATCATTTCATTCGTCAATCATCAACAGATTCTTTGCTGAAATATTTGACATCGGTGTTTCTCTCATATATTAATCGGTCACGATAAATACAAAGAAGAACAGTCGACTAATTAGACAATGAGAGAAGTAAAAGAGTGGTCAATAGGTCACGATATAAAAAGAAATTCAGTGTCATATGTGTTTTCATACGAGAGAATATTTCTCTTTCTATTATGTCTTCTTTATTCAAGAAAGGTGAATATATTCAATTGAATTTCATAAAATAGAATAAATTATTTCTCTTTCAACTATTAGTTAATCATTGGTTGTCGAAATTCGTATCGATAAGAAAAATCACTGAGCGAAAACGAACATGTTCTGATTCTATGAAACTTTGGAATATTCCTACTCATTTGATAAATTCAACTCCTAAATATGAAACATTACTTTATCATGTTTCCAGTCCATTAGCATTTATAACTTTAAATCGACCTGATAAATTAAATACAATATCACCTTTGATGCCATCAGAATTACAACATTCAATCGTTCGAGCAAATCAAGATAATGCAGTGAAAACTATTATACTTCGTGGCAATGGCACTTCATTTTGTGCAGGATTTGATTTTGGCAATGATTTAGCCAATTTCCCTTCAAATTTAAGTAATTCAATGAATGATTGGAATCCCGGAGAAGATATGATGTTAACTACATCGAAATTAACAAGTCCAGTTGCTAAATTTATGTCGATTTGGTATTCACATAAACCTGTTATTGCTCAAATTCATGGTTATTGTGTAGGTGGTGGTAGTGACATGGCATTATGTGCTGATCTGATTATTGCTGCTGATGATGCTATTATTGGAACGCCTTATAGTCGAATATGGGGCACTTATTTAACAGGAATGTGGATTTATCGTTTAGGTTTAACAAAATGTAAAGAATTAGCCTTATCTGGTGAAGCTCTTTCAGGAAAAAGAGCAGCTGAAATAAATTTAATTAATAAATCAGTTTCATTTAATCAACTAGAGAATGAAGTATTGAAGACAGGTGAAAAATTAGCTGAAATTCCTGTAACACAATTAGCCACAATGAAATTAATGGTTAATCAAGTTTATGAAAATCAAGGTTTACATACAACACAATTATTAGGTTGTATTTTGGATGGTTCAATGCGTCATACTCCTGAAGCGATGAAATTTGTCGAAACAGCTGCTCAGTTTGGTGTTCAACAAGCAGTCAAACAACGTGATGCACCTTTTCAAGATTATAGTCAGGCGGATGAAATCAATCGTCCTAAGATTAATCATAGATTTTCTTATCAACAAGGAAAGACAAAGAGTCATTTGTAAAATAAAACGGATTCAATAAAAATAAATGAGACAATGATTTGACTTGTTCATTTCAAACAATATGTTTATTCTATCACAATCGACTTTATTCAGCGTTCAATATGAAAATATCTAAACTTATGGAAAGTATTTTCCATTGAATTTTGAATACGCACATCATGCAGTAAATGGATCGATGGAGTAATGAACGTTCTTTCTAAGATTCATCTGAGTGTAAAGCACGGTAAAAATGTCGAATGCTACACGTAGTGTGTAATAGATGATGGTTGGATTTTTTATCTGAAGTATTGTGTATTTATCTATGTATTCGAACATTAATGACAAAGGTAAAAATAAATAAAGAACAATTTCTTGAAGAGTAAACGATTCAAATATTTCTCAGTCTTTTTTTCTTTAAAAACTTTTATTTTATATGCAAAAAGAGCAAAAAACTCGTTGCTTGGTTTGGTCTATACCAAATTCTCCACCAAATGTGATACTTTGCTATTGAGGTCCAGTTTTTAACGCTTTTTATCATAGCATCGCATTCAATTTTATGAAACGCTGAGTCTTTTATTTAAGAAATTTTATCGAATATCTTCATACTGAAAGCTTTTCACTTTAGTCCTTACTTTTGATGGCAAAAGAATGTAGGAGAACGCACACACACTGTCAAACGGGCGGAGAAAAGAATAAAATCGAATAAGTTGTCTTGTTGATTTCAAATTTGTCCGTTATGTTGAAAGCACTTCCAAGAACGTTTTTTTTTGTGTCTTCTGCTCTTTTGCTCTCCACAATGTTATTCTCAAAAGTAACTAGGTGGAGTTCGTTCTTGACTAATAACGCGAAAAAGCACGTGATTTTTCTTTTTATTTCAACAGCATAAAAATTAATGAATCGAAATCGACACCGTCGTCCAAAATTCGACAATCACGATAACGCATAGATCAAAGTTATCTTCTTCTTTGGGTAGATGCCAGTATACACGAAAGAAGCCAAGACCACCAAGACGCATTAGTTCAACTGAAGAACGTAGTGAACAGCGTTCATCTATGTACACAATCGGATCAATGTATTCAATTGCTCAATCAAATAGACTATGAACGTGTGTTCATCATCATATCGTTTTTTCTGGTAATTTACTTGAATTACAAATAAATCAAGAGTTCGAAAATGATTATATTCCAGAAAAAGCAATATGGGCTTCTTCCTACGTGATGTACATCGACAAATACAAGATCTGTACGAAGAACAGGTTAGCGCCTATGATGGCGAATCTTTTGTGGTTTATCGAGGACAAGGTCTTATGAAATTAGACTTCGAAAATGTCCAGAAAGCACAAGGCGGGCTGATATCATTGAATAATCTCTTGTCTACCAATACAAATGAAAAAGTATCGCTCAGTTTTACTCGAGATGCTTCGACAAAAGTCGATACGGTGGGCATTTTCTTCATAATGTCCATTGATCCTTGTTTAACATCGACACCATTTGCTTTCATCAAAGAGGAGAGTTATTTTAAGAGAGAAAACAAAATTCTCTTCTCAATGCACACTGTTTTTCGAGTGACTGTAATTAAAGAAATGGTTAATAAGAGTCTACTTTATCAAGTCGAATTACAATTAACCTCGGGTGGTGATCAAGAATTAGAAGCACTTATCGATCGAATATGAGAAGAAGTTACTGGTTCCAGGTGATTGAATTCGATTTCGGTTCAGTTTTTGTCGATCTTGTGTCAGTAGTTTCATTCTCGGGAAGTGCTTACATCTTCATAGATCATAATAGTTGTTCTAATTCTTGAAATTGAGCTATCCTTTTTGAGTGAAAAGATTCAAATGATGTGGTCAGTATCCGTGGATATTATTCCTACAGCCAATGGCGTTTTCGCTCCACCAATGGTATCTCAATGATAGCCTTCATATGAAGTGAAACTTTAGGTCTTGTAGCACTAGGCGTCAAAATCGAATGAAAATTGTGGCGGCAATGATACGAAACTTAAATGACCAATAGTATTTTTATAGTAAAGACACTATATTGTATTTTAGACTTTCGATCATTTAATCCAAACGTTGTATGAAAAAGCGGAAAGAATGGCAACCCTGCTTAATATATCGATTAATAGTAGGCGATAATCATTTGCCTAATGACTGTTAATAATAATGTGATGAAAATCGTTGGAATAATAATTTGTTGCCGTGAAGCATTACTTGTCGTTGTGTAATCTATTTGTACGACATTCGTTGCAATCCCACACATATTTTTACCGCGGGCAATACGTATATAACCGTTCTCTCCCCAATGATCACCTATAAAAGAAAAATCGAAACTAATGAAAAAACTCTATGATTGATATGATTATTGACCCCAGTTATTTTTGCATATCCAAAACGGTTTACCACCTTCAACACCATAACCAACAATTTGTAACTAGATAACAGAATATTATTTTATGAAAGAGATAAAATCACGGGATTTGTTCAGTTTATACCACGTGAGCAACCATTATTTCTGAACACCCATCATTATCATAGATACCTCCTTTATACTCGGAAAATTCTTCACCACTAGCATCCATTTTTGCCCAAAGCGTTGATTTTTGTATCCAAGCTAACATTGTATTTTCATCGTTATTAGTCAATCTCTTAATTGTGTCGAACTATAAGCGTTTTAAAGTAATATTCTACATAATATATGCATATATAAGATACATACGGTTGCAAATGGCTTGCATCGATTTGGTTCACATTTATGAAGAACAGAAGGATAATCACTATTTTTACAAATACCACTCATATTTTGTATACATTCGAAAGTATCAATTGGCTGTGGACAACAATCAAGTATTCGAGAAACACTACCTTCAATAAGTTGTTTTCTTTCAATAGCAAAAAGACTTTCCACAAGTTCTATATAAAACATATTTGACGATACAACTTCTTTTACAGATCTATTTCAATGATCATACCAGTACTAACAATAGCAGAGACGTCTTCTCCAATGATTCCTAGCCTTTTCACTGGTGAGATGACACCTTTTACACGCCAATCAAGTGATTCAGGAAGATTTTTTACATCAATCGATTGCTTCGATGACATTGGATACGACTTAAAAGATGATTTTTTATCAGAAACAATTTCCTACAATATGTTTTGGTTTTTACTGTGAACATTTTTTTTAATGATGACCTACGTGAACACGTTCATCAGTTAAATCTTTAACTCTCATAGTTAATGAGGCATCTGAATGAATTTGTTGATAATTTTGTATGCGAATAAAGTTATCAATGAAGATTTGTTTACGATCCGATTCTTCATCATCACTTGCATGTTGTTTTTTATAATCATGCTTTAATTTATTCCATTCAAGTGATAAATCACACACAGTTGTACCAAACAGAATACAAAAATGAAATAGCTAAAAACAACACAACATAAAACAAGTGAAATATTCTCATTAGAGATAACTATTTACCTGCATTGTTGAAATCTAAACGCCATATTTCTGTTCTTAGGTGTTAAAAAGAACATCTATCTACACTTATCGAAAAGCAAACATAAACAAACTGATAAATAACGCAGTTATTAAATGTAAAAATTCAATAAAGTACGAGATAGCTGAGGTCGAAATGGGTACGTTAGATTCTATCGGTTATACATTATCGGATTCCGATGTTCTTCGTTTTTTTTCCGTCCATATCCATAAATCGAATCATTCAAGTCTGAATCGAATTCATATTTTCAGAAATATAGCCTGTCTTATGGTCCGATTTCGATCATAATCAAACTCCTGCTGACGGTGAAGATATCAGTGATGAAAACACCATTTGCGAAGACGGCGACAATGATTTTCTAGTTTTATCTGATGGACAATTAGATATTTCATTCTATTGAATTATTTCCGAAGATTTATGAGTTAGAGAAGTAGACATGTCAACTTCATTTTTTTTCAAAGATCGACAAAAAAAACGATTGGATAGAACCGTGCTTTGGTTCTTTTTTTTACTTCACGACATTAAGAGATTTTATTTATTTTTACCAGAATCAGTAAATTTTTTGTGTATATAACTGGCTATTAAGACCATAAGGAAGTAAATCACTAGTGAAATAAAATCCACTAAGTGGCATTTCTGTCAAAGGGATCCCTCTATTCGAAGAAATAATTCATCTTAAAGAGTTCGTGTAACTCATATATGAATCTAATACTATTTAAAAAGGTTGCTTGTTAGAAATTAGAAAATAAATGAAGAAGATGAGGCGACAGAAGAAGTAACCTGGAATAATTTCAGTTGTTCAAACAAAGCATTTTGATAGTGAAAAGTTTCATGTAGATGGGCAAAGAAACAGATGACAGCGTTGGTATCAAGTTTTTGGGTACGCGTACCTGTGAATATGTTTACATAAATAAAAGGCAATACTTATTTGAATCAATATCGATACGTTCATTCATTATAATGTGCAATCAGCTTAAACTGGAGGTGTAGATAGACTGGTACATCCAGATTACTCATTGATAGAAAATTTTTATATTTTTATGGCAAGTTGGAGCCATTTGCGCAGCTGGAATTTCTTTCTAAATGTTTCGTCGTGGACACTAAATTCGAATATTTCGCCGTTCAAAGTCAATAATATGCACGTAAAGATAAGAAGAAAAATCAAAGTAATAAAGAGAAACATGAGAAAAACGACAGATGAGCATTATTGTGAAGAAGAGTACGTCTCTCGCAGTATATATTCTCACACATATCGCCATTCCTCTCCAGAACAACATCGTCAGTGGTCATCCATCGCTAAAAGTACGTTTTCTTATTTTGCGTCTTCACAGAGCGTCGCTATGAATTGATCTTTTTCTAAATTTTTAAATCATTAAGACATCAGCAGGTGAATATTACTGAGGATCTTTTCATCTTCTCATAGTAACAGAAGATCTGCAAAATGAATTGCAGCTGAAAGTTTTCGGCAGGGCATCATCTATATATTGAATGTTTATCGTTGGAATAGAGAAAATTTTATTAAAGCGGGCGAAAGGAATGTTAAACAGTTCGTTTTAGCACAAAAAAATGAATGCCGAGATAGAATGTACTTAGATTTCGAGGAACATCATGAAGAAATCTATTTTTATTCAGCATGCGTATTTTATCTCAGAGTTTATAGTATGAAATAAAACGTCAAAATCTATAAAATTTGAAATTCTTCCATTATTGAGTATCTGTAAATAACACATATTCTCTTTTTATTTAAGAGCACCATTATATTGACTCTTAGTTATTTTGAAAGACTCTTTGCGAAAGTATCCATGTTGTTACACTCACAAAGAGCCTCGTAAGACAAAGCAAACAGGATGAAAGTAAAATCTAGAAAGTCAACGTAGAATCATTTGAAAAATTTGAATTATTTTGTATTATATTGTCAGTGCATTGTCTCAATTTAGGGCAACGAGAAATGATTTGTAAAATATCCGAGCACAAAAAAGATGGTTAGTCACCATTGAAGTCATGCGTTGGACATGAGATCTCTTTTCTAATTGCCAATGAAATATTTTATTGCCATGGAATAGTTTTATACGAGTAAATGGAAATATTTAAGTGTTATTACAAGTTTTCGTTACTAAATCGAACTCATGAATAAAGATCTTGTTGAGCCTTGGAAGTAAACAGGATGAAATAAGCAAAACAGGTAGAGCAGATGAGACCGTACAATATTTTCAACATTTTCTTACTGAACAATAAACTAAGAGTGAGTAGTTAGTTGTCAACACAACTTAGCAGCTCTAAACTTCTACGGAAATTTTAAAAACTCCTATTAAGTTCTATCGTTTTAAGTATTAAAAATTTATATACGAGATACCGTTGAACAAAATATTCACGAAAGTATTTTATTTAACTGAGAATGAGTTTGGTATCTTTTGGTTTATTCACATAGGAAGAAAAAGAAGAAGCAAATAAAGGATAACGTTATTGTTCTTGTTGTAGGGACTGTTAAGTAGATTGGAGAAGAAAAAAGCATTGAATCTTTGATTATTGTAGAAGTTCTCATTCTCCAATAAAAATCGTTCTAGGACAAATTGATATTTATGAAGAAATTGAAAAGTTATTTATTGACTGTGTTGTTATTGAATGTAACAAGTTGGGTGTCAGCAAGTTCTTTATTTCCACGTGTTAACACATCAGAAGGTGAAAATTTGGAAAGAGCAGAGACCTATAAAGTGAGAGATCCATTCTATGCTTTGGATGATCCTTCAGTAAATCGTGCAACATCTGAACATTTTCAAATTATTTGGGGAAATGGTGATACAACTGGAACTGTAAATTCCGCGTTTGTTCAAGGCAACTTAAAAAACCTTGAAACCATCCGTTCGTTTTACATCGACGTAATAGGACTTGGAGATATCGGAGATACCAGGAATCCGTCCCTATCCGGTCCCTATAAATCGAATGTCTACATTGCACTTACTGGGCTCGATAAGGTTAATGACGGTTGGGCATATGTTTTCACAGACGGCGATGGATGTGCTTATCAGGTGATGATGCCAGGTGCTATGCGTGTAGATCCGCCAAGTTGGGTAGTTCCTCATGAACTTGCGCATGCAGTTGTTTTCCATAATCGTGGTATTGTTCCTTTTGTTTGGGGTGAATCAGTAGCAAATTACCTGCGTAATGAATATTTGTATAGTGATTACTATAAATACGGCGAAACAGTCTATGGTCCCGCCTCTGACTTTTTTCCAGCCTTTTTATTAAACCCGCAATCACATTTTCCGAGTGGTAAGAACTGGTACGACATATGGCTGATTTTCAGTTACATAAGCGAAAACCCAGACAACATCGCAGGACTTGGCCATCAAGCACTAGTAAACATAATCACCTACAAACAAGAGAGACCAACGTTTTTTGCAACTATATCCGAAGTAACTGGTGTTTCTATCAAAGACATACTAGGCGGATTGAGTAGAAGATTGGTAACAATGGATTTCAAAGCAAAAAAATATTATTTAGAACATTTGGATAGCTTTCTAAAAGTTCCGGGACATTCGAGCGACGTTTACACGACATTACAAAGTGGAAGCGATGGTTGGATGGTTGTTCCTAATAATAGAGCTCCACAGCAAGCAGGTCACAATATTGTTCCTCTGGGTGTATATCGGGGTAAAACTTCTATTACTGTTAACTTCCAAGGAACGAGTACGGTACCAGGTGCAGACTGGCGAGTCAGTATTGTTACTGTAACATCGAATAGATCATCTCGATATTCTTCCATGTGGAACAACGGTAAGCTTAGCATCTTTCGTCATAATTAACTTGATCCATTAAAAAAACGACTCGTCTTAATCAAGTTAATTCAGTGAGTCGAACAATAATACATTAAATCAAAGCGAGATATTTTGATTTTTCTTTACCAGAGAATTTTCTTATTCATGCATCATTAATACGTCCAACTACTTTGTTTTCTTTTTATTTACAGGTCCTAATACTATGAATTTGCAAGGAGATGAGAAAGCTATTTATTTAGTTGTTATTGCAACCCCATCCAATATGGTATTCCTTGATCTTGAAGAAAATGGCAACACATTTCCTTATAAAATACAAGTAACAACACAATAGTTGAAAAACGGCTTGGTAAAATGATTTTTTTTCCTTATATTTATGCTGTACGTGAAATAAATATTTGAAACGAATAAATATAAGCAGGATTAATTTTATTTATTTTCATCAGAGATCAATTACTGCGTAAAATAATTGGTACTTTCGTACTTTTTACCTAAAAATCGTTAGTACGCAGTACACGCGCTAGAGTATAAGTACTTTTACTTTATACTTACCTCGTGTACTTTATACTTATGCTTCAGTACATTTCACTTAACTACAGCCATATTTAGTACGAGTACTACAGTACTTTTTACCTAAAAATCGTTAGTACGCAGTACACGCATTAGAGTATAAGTACTTTTACTTTACACTTTCCTCGTGTACTTTATACTTATGCTTCAGTACATTCTACTTAACTACAGCCATATTTAGTACAAGTACTTTCGTACTTTTTACCTAAAAATCGTTAGTACGCAGTACACGCACTAGTGTTAGGATGCCAGTAAAACAGCTGATAGCATATGTTTGTTCACTCACATGACGTCACATATATACATGGATTTGTCCATTCTCTCATATCATATGTTCATGACGTCATACGTATATATTCGTTCTCTCACACTTATGTATGACATCACTTGGATCTCTCCCAATCCTCTTTTTTCCCTGACAACCGTTTTCACATATATATATATATGTAACGTTTTTCATCTAATAAAGGAGAGGTCTTCATATAGCGATCATTTCCGTCTACGGAAATATCATTCTTCACACTAGAGTATAAGTATTTTCGTACTTTTTACCTAAAAATCGTTAGTACGCAGTACACGCACTAGAGTATAAGTACTTTTACTTTATACTTACCTCGTGTACTTTATACTTATGCTTCAGTACATTCCACTTAACTACAGCCATATTTAGTACAAGTACTACAGTACTTTTTACCTAAGTTCAGATGTAATAAGTTTGTATACTAGAGTGTGTTTTGACTGAGTACCGGTACTAAGTCCAAATGTACTTAAAACGGATGGTTCTTTTTGAAAAAAATGTTTCCAAACGCTCCATTATTGATTTTCAATTATATCTCCATAGATTATGTTTGCGATATGCATAGGCTAACATGAATGAACGCTGTAGCGACAAACTGGTTGAGTAGCTGACCGCTTCTCACGGTATCGATGTTTATTGACTATTCTACATGACCAGAATGTGTCTCTTTCACAATAAGACACGCGCTTATATAGAGAAGAGGAAAGAGAGATGGCCCGGAGATAGTATGATATAGAGATGAATGATATCATTATCGTTACAAACGCAAGCAACGTAATCTTTTTGATTTTTGAAAGAATATTCACTATCAAAGTTATTCATATGATATAGTGAAATCTTATTTTCCGTTCGATAGAAAACGCAGATATCGCTTCATCATGCTCTTAAGAAAATGTGAATCAAGAAAGAAGTAAAACCTTTCATTAGTTAGATTATAAAATCGGTTTATAAAGATAACTTCTATGAAAAAAATCGATCCCCAAGTTCCATTTGGTGGTGTGAACGTCATCTTCTTTGGTGATTATTTACAATATCGGCCAGTCTTTGATTCACCATTGCATACTGATTTTTCATTATCCTCATCATCAAAAAAGAAACAAGAAAAAATACCATATGAAAAAGAAATTCAACAACGTGTTTTACGTTCTTTAATTCTTCAAATGAATTGTGGGGTAAAGCTTACACAACAGATGCGAACAGAAGATTTACGATATCTTCAATTACTCGATCGGCTTCGTCGTGGACAATGCAATTATGATGATTACGAACTATTGCAGACACGAGTTGTTGGACAACCAACAATAGAATCTCTACATCATTCGCCATGGAACAAAGTAAATCGACTCTTTTTTTTATAAAGAAAGAACTAGTTTAATCTTTTTCGGGCTCCTATTCTCGTGTTCCGAAACGAAGTTCGCACTCAAATAAATAACAAGGCTGCCATTCATAATGCAACACAAATGGGTCACCCATCGACGATAAGTGTTGCTCAAGATGCATGTAAAGGCAAAGCAATCGAAGACCCAATATTGCGTAAAAAACTATTAGAATTATCTGATAGCAAGACAGAGCATTTACCTGGCCTATTACCCTTTGTACCAGGTATGCCTGTCATTTTAACGCAAAATATTGCTACTGAATTAGGCCTTATCAATGGTATTAATGCAATATTTCGACAATTAGTATATCATGAAGATTCGGTGACGACAGGAAATTTATCGGAAATGTTCCCGAATAATACACAATACATTCGTCGACCGATATATGCATTAATTGAGATTGTTAAATCAAAGATTGAATGCACACTTCAAGATCTTGAACCAAAACTTATACCAATTCCATTTATAGAACAAACATTTCGGGTTGACGTCGGTGACCTTATTCCAAAAGATAAGAAAGCCAAATCAAATCAAAAGACAATTTTACCGATTAAACGATGTGCGTTACCACTTGTACCTGCTTATTGTATTACAACGCATAAAAGTCAAGGTCAAACATTGAGCAAAATGGTTATTGATTCAAAAATTACCAAATGAGACTGATGATATTGTAGCAGTCTACGTACCACTATCTCATGTAAAACGTTTGGCCGATTTAGCTATTCTACGACCATTTGATTATAAAGCTTTGCTGATGAAACCATCTAAATCTCAAGTTACTGAAATGGAAAGACTGGATCACCTGTTTTTGAATACACGATCACGTTTTTCGGAATGGTTTCGATGAATCATATGTATAATTAGATAACTGTTACTTCGTTTATCAGTTTGTACTATAGATAATTTGAATTTTCCGTAAATTTCATTATCTTTGATTGAATTATGGAATTTCTATATTTTACAATTCTTTAAAATCGAGATTATTTTGCTTTATATTGATTTATTCTGGCCACTTTTCTTTCTTTTCATTAAATATAAAATAAATTTATGTTATGCAGTTGATTACAGANCTATTCTACGACCATTTGATTATAAAGTTTTACTGATGAAACCATCGAAATCTCAAATTACCGAAATGGAAAGACTGGATCAGCTGTTTTTGAATACACGATCACGTTTTCCGGAATGGTTTCAATGAATCATATGTATAATAAGATAACTGTTACTTCGTTTATCAGTTTGTACTATAGATAATTTGAATTTTCCATAAATTTCATTATCTTCGATTGAATTATGGAATTTCTACATTTTACAATTCTTTAAAATCGAGATTATTTTGCTTTTCTAATTTTGTTATGCATATTTACACTGATATTGATTTATTCTAGTCATTTTTCTTTCTTTTCATTGAATATAAAATAAATTTATGTTATGCAGTTGATTGCAGAAGTCGTGGAACAAATTTTCACAACTATAATTTGAATTAGAAATACTTTTTTCTAAAATAGTTACGAGATAATTTTAAAGATTAGAAGTTAAAAAGAACTATGACAAGTATATAGTAGTAGAATTCCAATTATTAATAATGATTTCAACAATAGAAAACGTTCACTATTAGCCATCCAGTCAAGGGCCAAGCGATTCTGCCTCGACGAGCGTTCCTAGTACATCTGACGTATTTATATTTAATGTAGTTCTGGGTGTTTTTACAACATAGATTTGTTTACATGAATCAATCAATCGTTTTATTCTCTAATCGTCATGATGTCATAAACGTGATTAAATATTTCCTCGTACACAGCTTTTTCATCGCGTCACATATTATACAATTTTGTCTTTCCTTCCAATTCGTTAGTTAATGTAACAGAAATCTAATATGAACACTCATAAAACCTAATTTTTCTATCATTTTATTTTCGATTTTCTTTCAGTACATCACTTATTATTCTTACTAAACTGTTAGATATGACTTTTGATTTCTTGTAATTAGTACAAAAATTATAAGAAGAGTAAATAGAGAAAATAATTTCCCACTTTTCATTTGATATAAATCTAAGAAAATCCTTTAACTGATGTGTTTTCAAAGATAAACATTATAGAAATACTGATTCAGGTAAGCAAAATAGACAAGAATTTATTCAAAACAAGTTTATGAGATATAGAGTATTTCAACATTACTACATGTGCTTTTGAATTATCCTTGTCAGAGAAAAGAAAAGTGGATTATTATGAGCATGATATTTTCTAACAGAGATTAAATTCGACAACCATAAAGATCAGTATTTCTTTCTTTAACTGTTCGAAAAGCACCTTGTGGAATTTTGTTATTGTTGGTGACAATCTATTTGAAATGTCACCTTATGTTCTTATTTTGTTCTAAAATGTATTATATCAACAATTCTATTCTCTTCTTTACCATGAACAGCATCATGCGTTGGAATACCTAAACTTCTTGGTGTTTCTTAACAATGAATTCTGAAAACAAACAGACGATTCTTTAACATTTTAATACTCTTGATAACAAAATATATCAATAACAATGAACCGAATGTGTAACTCGTCTCATAGTTTAAGTGGAAGTTTCGAAACAGTTTTTCATAAACAAACTAAGTAGGAAAAGTCATATGTTAAATTTCGTGAATCTCAGCATGTTTACCGCGAATAAGTAACTCATCTAAGGCCTTAAATGGCTTAAAAGGCCACCTAAGTCCTTTGAAATATAGTGATGGTTCTTTGGGCTGAGCCCAAGAGGGAAAGAACGGATGTCGGTCAGTTTGGATTCCAATCAGAACTAGAACACAAGTACATGTACTTGTAATTTTTGTACTTTTTCGAGTAAAATACTTTTACTTGCTATACTTGTACCCGTCCTAGCTCTCATTCCAATGAGTCTAATGATTTTTTTTATTTCGACACATTCCAAAGAATTCCTCAGGAGTTCGTGGGATTCCGAGATTCTCTAGGATTTCTTTTGGATTCAGGATTCCGCTCTTTCCCTCTTGGTTTATTATTCTACTTTCGTATTTTTATAGTGACTATAGAACAAATATAAAAATTTCTTCGAGGAATCGATTTTCTTCCTACATACAAATAAAATTACGCAGCAAAGATTTTTAAAAAATTTATTAGTCATGAAGTTTTATTGAGTTGTTGTTAGTGTAGTATAAATAAAATTGAACGGGTTAATAAAAAGAAATAAAATAAAATTATCGGAGTTTAACTAATAATGATTTCAAACGTACCAATAAGGAGTTTCTTTTCTGAATAAGTGTTGACATAGTCAGTTCATAATACTCGAGTCTTCGACTTATTGTTAGCTGCGTTTTTTAGAAGAGATAATCTTGGTTGGAATGTTTCAAAATGTACTTGAGATTCTGGATGGTTACATTCTGACAGATATGTTCTGGCGGTGTTCAGAAATGATGGGGAACCGCACATATAGACTTGAGTACCTGAAGTCAGTTTGCTTTGAAGAAGATCTTTTGTCAGAGGATTGCTCTTATCCAGTGGAATGTATTGATCTTTGTCGAGAAGAGATTGTATTTCTTCGATGGAAGCACCTTGACCTTTTTTCGACACGTAATAAATAAGAGTGACTAAATCTAATTTGCCTTTATTTTTCAGGTCCTTAATCATTGCAAGAAGTGCGGTAATACCGATACCTCCAGCAATGAATAGATAATGATTTGCGTCATTAACTAAAACAAAATTACCCGCTGGAAGTGAAGCCAATATTGTGTCACCTTCAAAAAAATTCTCAGCTATCTCATTAGAAACGACACCTAGTGGCTGCTCATCTTTTTCTTGTTTAATGGCCACATTGTATGTTTTACCATTGAATGGATGTGTGAGACTATAATGTCGATTGTGAAAATGGCCCTCTTTTTGAACACGCAGAGTTAAATATTGCCCAGCAAGGTAAGGGCATATTGCTCTACCATCGCACCGTTCCAAGGCTAAGGCAGTAATTGTTTCATCGGCGATCAGTTCTTTTTTAACAATTTTCAATGGAATAAAACTCTTTTGTCCGTCATCGCCGAGATCAGCATATAATTCCTTCTCTACATCAATAAATACTGAAGCAATAGTACTATAGGCAATTGACCAGGCATTTAAAACTTCAGGTGTGGCTTTGTCATCCAAAGTTTTAGCAATCGCATTGAGCAAAAAATGGCCAACAACTTTATAGTGAATTGGCTTGACCATCATAGCCCGATGTTTATAACCGATGGTATATATCCATGGCATAAGTACATCTAAGTGGTCGATATTTTCTGCAGCTAAATAAATTGCATTTGCCAATGCTAAGGGTTGAGCACCGATCTTCATGTTTGTTTGATTGAATGTATTCAATAATGCTGGATGAGCTTTAAATAGATCTCGGTAAAATGTTGATGCAATCTCTTTTGCATTTTCCCGCAAAAGTGGTACAGTAGATTTGACAATTTCTCTGTCTGCGTCAGTAATCATCATTGTTCCAAATCTATAATGATGCATACAGTCACTAACGTTAGTTTTTCATTCATTCGCGAAGTTCTAATAAAAAATGAAGATAATACTCTTATAAAGAAATGTACCAACTTTAGTATTTCTTCATGTCAACAAGGGATAGATGAAATATCAAAATGATTTATGAGCGATGAATTTTAAAATCACCTTAAAACTTACGATAAATTCTTAATGCAGAAAAACATTAAACTAGTACCACATCCAAAGAGTTCGTGTACATATTGATATTCTGTGAAACGTGAACTAAAATGAGTGTTGAAATATAAACGTAAAAAATTGGATCCTCCCACTCCATTCACGTGACAGACATCTTCAAAATCTTAGTCACAGAGGTGACAAACTTCTTTCAAATTAAGTTACAAAAAGGTAAAAATGTTTGCAATGTTTCATATCGATAGACTTTAAACGTTCTTTTGCTATTAGCTTCAGCAGTTTGTCTTGTTACATATATTCATCCCGTAGAGATTACGTTAGCAGTTTTTACTAATATATCAACAAGTAACGAGACATAGTAGCCGCTGACCCTCTACCTTTTAAAAGAAATGCTAGATTGGGCAAAAGGTTTTGCAATACTTTAATATGAGGATGAGGGTGAAATTATTGCAGAATTTTTTGCCCAACCGAATAAATAAAATCTATTTTATCTCGATGGTGCAGTTATTCGATGATTAACTTCAGACTTTCGCTCATATTCATTTGATGACCCAAAAGTTTCACAGACGAACGCCTAGTCGTTCGTCGGCCTCCCTCCGGTCAGCCACTCACGGCTAGCCGTTCCATGCCTACCTCACGTGCCGCAGTCATTGCTACCGACGCGGAAGCGGTACTGCGCACATACCACTTTCTCCATTTCTTGAATTATAAATATTATAATACAACATGTACTGAATCTTTTTCTGTAAACTTCTAAACTATTATTTTCTCTCCTATCATATATCGCAATAGCGTTCAGCCCATTACTTTCCACAAAGGATTTAGAAAAAAAGCAGAAAAATATCTGCTGTGAGAAGAGAGAAGCTCGATGGATGAAAAAAACTGACCTCGGATTCGCGATCCTCGATCTCGATTACCCTTCGGTCAAGTTTTCTTGGTAAACAGTATAGATTGTTATTCTATTAGTGTAAAGTACGTGAACGGACAAACGAACGAACTTTAACTGAAATTCTGTGTATACCCTTCTTCCAGTAGAGGGAAAAAAACTAAGTATGCATTCTTTTCTGATCAGACAGCGTCTTGGGGCCTCCTTGACTAGTATTTATTGTGAACTGGAAAAGAACGCCACTGCCACAGAAAAGTGTAGAAATTAACCAACAGGAAAAATTCGTTCGAAAGAACAAACATTTCCTTCATCTTCGGTACTGACCATTGACGTTCTTCAAATCGGAGCGTTAGAATACTGTAGAAAAAGTCAAAGATCGCTTATTTCTTTGTTAAAATTTCGGTACACCGCCATAATTTTAAAATAGAAATAATTGCACTAGGTCATCAGTTTTAGGCAGATTACTTATGGTCTTGACTTTAAAATGACCACGAAATATACAAGGAGTGTAGTTCTTTTCAGAATTTGCAGTAACAAAAAACGTAACTAAAATGTGACTTCTACAGCTAAGATTCATCATTTTCTATGTTTCCGCGCACTTCATACATGGATAGCTTTTTTATCAGAAATTTCGCGCTTGCCACAAAAAATTCCTAGGCGACATTTTCATATAAATATTTGAAAAACTATCTACGCGAGTGAAGAGGAAACAGAGAAAAAACAATTTATAAAAATGGATCCAGATTTATAATCCATCAGCACCGTTTTTTTTTCGCCGGACTGCTACAAGGAAATCAGTTGTACACTTTCGCATAATTCCTGTAGCAATCAGTGAAGCGGTAACGTATAAAGAATCATACAGGCGAGCAAGTTATTTTATCTGATCTTATCTGCGTCACATAGAGAACCGTCTTTAACGACCAACGTCATATATTCAACGAGAGTTTCGAGCGCCTTTGAACCCATCTTCTACGGCGCTCTTTTGACCCCGTTACGCATTCCCTACCGACATCTACCCTCAACACTCCTCCCAAAACTTGTTTCATAAAGTTTTATGCATTTTCAAAAAAATGTTTTTTTACCTTCGACCTTTGACCCTGACAGTCACACACAAACAATCATACAAGCTTTTTTTTCATATGACCCTCCTTTCAGTCGAGGGAGCATCTCCATAAATAGTGCTATTCATAAATTCTGTAAAATTCCCATCTTGTCTGAGAATTGAAGAAGGTATACTGTGAACTAGAAAATTATTTATAGAATATGCTAGAGGAATTTCTAGAACAGCCCATATGAATTCACTGGCGAATTTTTACTTTTTTCAATATTCGGTATTCAAAAAAAATAGAAATTTTACATTTTTCTAATTAGAAAATCGGAGGTGAATTCATATGGACTTTTCTAGAGATTCGCATTTGATTTAACAGTACAAACATTTTCTAAAATTTTTTATTCATCTTTATTTCCATTTAATAATAGTATTGGGTGAATTGATGGGAAACGTACCACTTTGTACACGACTTTCTCTGAATTTGCTCAAGCTCTCAGGGTTTGTAGAGCTCGATGCGCTGATCATTTCGGTATAAAAATATCCTGAGTTCGCGTATGTTCTGACTGTGAACGATCCCAAATACAGTTTGACGAAAATAGCGAAAATCAGGAAAATTTGGGCGGTCCCTGATAGTATTTTTTATCTCTATAGAAACTCGAAACCCCAACTATTTATATATATTCTGACAGCCTGTCTTCCGCTCTATCAAGCCATATGTAAACCAAATAGATTGGTTTAATTAAATGAGGTTATGAAGGAGCATACCTTCATGAACTTGACTCCTCTATTGCTCAGCTCTGTCGAATTTGGGTGGGCTGGGGTATAGTGGGTTTTGTAGAGCGTTTCTTGCTCTATCTCGTGGCGTATAAGACTCCTCACCCGGTTTCGACTTTCAATCGTTAGATAGCCGGAGAACCGTGTTTCATATCAGTCGCCACCACCCATAATACTCAATGGTCGCTGTAAACGAGGTAGGTTTCCCATGGATTCACTCATTTCTTTTTATTTATCGTACCGAATAAATGCATAAATAAAATTTGAATTTGAATTTAAAAAATCTATGAACATTGCATTTCATTAATGTATTTAATAATACAAAATAAATCATTCTCGATTTGTTTTTTATTTAATCAATCTATAAAAATTGAATTCGTATCAATAAATATATCTCAGAAAATAAATTACTGCATAGTTTTACTTTAAATAAGGTCACAGATATTAAATTTACACAGTTAATACATCGAAGAAAATTCTGACGATTTTTTATGAAAGAAGTCTTTGCACTTGTGGAGCTGCGCTGTTATTTTATTTCTGCTTATCAACAATCACATCTTTCTAATACAAAGCGCACCTTTATATACTTGCCCATCGAAGGAGAGGAAAGAAAAGGTAATACAAAAGTGCAGCACGATGCACGAACTAAAGACAAATGATATGCGTACAGCACATAAAACCGAGACCGTCACAAAAATAAATTAAAAAAATTTTAATTGAAATAAATTCAGAAATAAACTCATCAACTGCTTGGGGAAATAATAAATGCACAAAACTATCGGATGATTTATATATTCATATATATATCAATGAATAATGAATTGGTAACGGGTATTGTTACAACAATTTTCTACATTTCGAGAATCAAATTCAATTTCTGTGACTTAGAAATTAAAGCATTTTCTAGATTTTTATAATTTGATTAATGAATTATAAAAGTTTGAAAATGTCATAGCTTTTATCAATCGATTTAAAAAAAATAGAAAACCAAAAAATTTACAGCGCAGAATCAGAATAGTACGAAAATATTTGAAAGGATTAAAAAGAAAGTACTTTAGACGAAAAATTTCCTCGCACGTTTCTATATTTCCACTATTGAAATTCAAATAGAGTAGTTAAAACTGAAATATGTCAAGAGGGAAAACCAATTCAGTCGCATTCTATTGGCGAAAACGTTTGTTTATACTTACCAAAGCTATATTTCGTGTTGTTAACTATGATTTTTATGAATAATTATGTTTTTGAGCTTGTTTTTCGTTTAAGAGCATTGACTGTAATTATTTCTAAATATGTGTTTTTTTTTCACCCCATTAACGAGCAACCCATGAAAATTGTATAATATTCACCATGCTGCTTAATTTCAATGCGTTGAATGGGCCACGTATCAAACATTAAAAAGTCAATGTACCGAGAAAAATAGAGCGTTACATATATGAAAAAATGAAGGAAAAGGTGGTATGTGTGTCAACTATTAGAAGCAAATTCTCATTTCTTTGGTGAGTTAGATACTTATAGATCTGAATCAGTTACAATACTAATTGTGGTAAATGGTATGTGAATCGATCTATCAATTGATATTAGAGATATTACCTTATATTTTCTTTACAAAATCAATACAAATTCATATAATAGACAGAATACTTTCTCAGCAAAATTCAGAATTTTTTATGATTATCAGTCGTTATTAAAGTAGAGAATAAGGGTTGTATAAACGATGCAGCCAACAATAGTACATGTAGAAATGATTTTCCGTAAAAATAGATATAACATGTACTCTAGACGAATATTTCAACAAAACGAAGATTATAAGATTTTCAGTTCCAAACACAACCTTCAAAACCTTATTTATATTTTTATCCTTGAGCTATATAAATAATGGTTTTGTATTTATTTTAGGACAAATAAAACTATATCTCTTCCGCTAGATATAAATGATTTTTGTATGAAAAAAATCTAAATAATAGTTCGGCTTTCAAAATTAAATTATTCTATTTTTTTCCTGAGAAATAGGCATACACCTGTTCCAGTCTTGATTGGTGAACTAGGTACTAGTGTAACTGGGGACCGAATCGTAAAATCTTTATTCAATTGGCCCATTATCAGTTTCCTCTTTTCTAATATATTGTAATGAACTGATTTTAAAACTCAGATTCAAGTTCTATATATGAGAGTTGCCCTTAGGTCCTCAAATCTTATATTTAGGAGCTAGCGTTGGTTTCTGAAGGCCTGTATTTGAGGAGCACCCTTCACTGCAATTTTTTTCTAAATTTCTATTTATTAGAAAACTGAATTTCAAAAAACTACAGCGTCTTCAAACTTTTATAATTTATTAGTAGAATTATAAAAACTTAGAAAATGCTTTGACTTTTCAATTTACAAAAATTCAGTTCGATTTTCGAAAACCAATATTATTCAAACAGTGACTACTATTGTGTCATTGTTCATTCGTTGATAAAAGTCAACCGGTTGAATGCACATTCATCATTTTTTTCGGTGCAGCGAGAAAGCGAGAGACTAAATTGAATACTGAAAGATCTATTAGAATTAAAATTATTTCTCTATTTATTTATTTATTCCCTCGACTGTATGACTTAAAATAAATTTTTTTAAAATTTTGTTCATATTGATTAGAATTAGAATAAGGGAGGGGGCGCTTAAGAGGATTTGGTGCGTTATAGCGTTTTCCGGAAAATTTGGAAATTCTAACTTGAGCCTACAATACCCAAAATAAAAGTGCTCAACAGCTGAAATGGGCCTAATATTGATTAGGGGCTTTCCATAATAGGATGGATATCGGCGCCGTTTATGCCCCATCATGCCCTATATGAGAATTATAGCTGCTCAGACTATTCAGTTTGTCCGATCAACAGATTCAATTTTCAGGAAATCAGCTGGTGCCCAAAACATAGAATTTTCCAGTAAACGCTATAACACATCATATGGCTTAACAGCTGAAATCGCCCCCCCCCTTATTCTAATTCTAATCAATATGAACAAAATTTTAAAAAAATTTNTGTTCATTAATAAATGGTCATTTGTTGTGTGTTTATATTTCAGATATACATTTACTTACAAATAAATATGGCTGAGATATCAAAACAATGCTGTCGTAAAGTAAAAAATAAATTGATGCCGATACGGTTCGAAGGTCCACTTGACTTACCCCTTCATATTATTGAAATGAAGACTGGCGTTGAACCTGCAATATCTTTTGTTGGTATGATTAACATAATCCTTTTATTTTTCATCTCGCATGTTTATATTGTTGATTAGTTCTGATTGGTTTTATTTCTATCTATTTGATCTTCGGTTGGTGCAACGATTTTGTTTGTAACTTCATCGGACTAATTTATCCAGTATATGCATCGCAAGATCGAATTTTTGTCTTTGAATCCGACGCGAATGTCATCAGTACATTCTGGATAGGTTAGATGGGTTATTATACGAATTCAACCTATCGATTAGCTAGTGAAAAGAGAAGCTTTCAGAGTTGTCTATGATAAGTCTACACATAATAAATTAAATGATCAAAAACTGAATGAGCAGAAATATTGAAAAAAAAATTAACAATATATAAAAGTAGTCAAGTCTGAACTTGGCCAAACCTTGTAGAATGCTTTCATGATTGATTATATAACGAATCATAATCGAAAGAAAAAATAACTAATATCTTTTTGTTAGTTGATTGTTTATTAAATTAGTTTAGAATAGAGTAATATATTCTGTCTGCTATGTAGCATCTTCATCTTACTTGAAATAATTTATGGAAATTTCATTTCTAATGTTCGCGTTAGTAAAGGCTGAAAACATGTCGTAAAATATGCAATAATGCTATGTAATCATAGAAAGGAAAATTATTCGATTTGTTGTCGAAAATTGGCAGATGAAAATTTCTTTTAAAGAATTTGGTATACTTCTGCAGATTTACATTCGAACTCAGAGTTTGGCTAGATGGCGCGTTCATCTCATTCGCTTTTTGATGCGGATTTATTTATATAATACTTGATAAAGATAAATAATGATGATTAATATTGTTTAAAAATAGTTTCTTATGTTTATTTTAATGTAAATTGAATTGTTTAAGGTTAATGACAGTTCAATCACCTGGCTCATTCGATCACAAAAAACTGTTGAACTATTGGGTCATTTATTCATCAATTGGTTGCATTGAATATTTCTTGCATGAACTTTGTGATTTACTATTATTTTACTGGTTTGGAAAATGCGTTTTTCTCATTTGGTTTCTCAAAGATGAACGTGAATTATCTACAGTGGATACAAGTTTCCAATCAGAAGCAATTGCCTCGTATACGGCAGAATCTATTCTTATTTCCCAGAAAACTCAATCAAACGGTACGTATATATAATTTTCCAAGATGAGTTCTCTAACGATTAGTTTGTTTTGTTTCAAAACTATACAGTTTAATTAAACTTATGCAGAGCAACCGTCTCCTAGAAAATATTCGAAATTTGAGTGTTTTTTTTCGAATTGTGACACACATGTAGAATATTAATCGACTCTTTATAAGTTTAATAGAGGGAGTATCCACTGCGCGTAAGAAACATCTATGTCAAACATTTCACGTGTTGAATAGGCTATAGCAGGTAGAAAATCAGTATAATTCAAATTTCTACGCTTCCAGTCCTTATTTCCTCGCCGTGCATCGCATAAAATGCCAGTTTCGGCTATATCTTTTCATGGAAAAGAGTTACCAAAGCTGATTTCTGTCTCAGAAACTATGAAAATTTCCTCTTTCTCACTCTCACGTCATTTTATACCTTATATCCTTCGAATTCACCCACTCTCAGCATTTATCTTAATCTTTTGAGATCCTGCAACGCTATTGGCCAGTTTCGTAGGTTACCTGTAGCAAATGCCTCGTTTATTTGTTTTTGGAAAAAAAGTAGATGTCGACCTTTCTCTGGACTCATGGAAGCATCGTGGAAAGTTTCACGTCGATAACTATTACAGGTACTAAATGCATAGCGAACAAACTTTCGTCTTTATATATATCGATTTGTCGAGCGAATTTCTCTAAGTATAAAAATTTACGAATAGATTCTAAAATTAGTCTGTTCTATTTTATACTTAAAAATCGTCATTCTGATTCAGGAGCAGACCTTTAAATTTAATTTCACTCGATTAAATTAAGTTATCAAGTTTTAAATGTTAAGTAAAAACAAATTCAACTTAATTTTAAATTAAGTATAAAGGTCCATCACTAAATTCTGATTGTTCATTTGAAGTTTATGATCGAAATATGTTAGTGAAATTCATATCTATTTAGTTCCTCTACGTTCTACTATTCTCAATCGTAATGCTAAGTGGAAAAAGAACGGTTTGACCGTCGCTGGAGGAAATGGGAGCGGTAATGATCTAAACCAACTATTCGCCCCGTTTGGTATTTTTGTTGATGAGAACAAAACTGTTTATATTGCTGATTCAATCAATAATCGAATTGTTGAATGGAAAAATGGTGAAAAAAATGGTCGAGTAGTAGCTGGTGGAGGTGAATCATTGATTGGAGAACACGTGTTATATGGTCCAATGGATGTTATCATCGATAAAAAAAGGAACAGTTTCATCATTGCTGATACTGGTAAACGACGAGTAATTCGATGGCCTTATGAAAAAAATATACAAAGTGAAACAATTATCCCGAAAATCGATTGTAGAGGTATAACAATTGATGAAAACGGATCTATCTATGTTACTGATGGTGATAAACATCAAGTTACACGATATGATATTGGAAATAATGAAGGTGTAATAGTAGCTGGTGGAAATGGAGCAGGTGATGCTCTTGATCAATTGAATATTCCATATTCCGTTTTTGTCGATCAAGATCACTCTGTTTATGTATCAGATGGAGGTAATCATCGCGTTATGAAATGGATAAATGGAGCAAAAGAAGGTGTTGTTGTTGCCGGTGGACAAAGACAAGGTGAAAGTCTTTCACAGTTGAATTATCCTCGAGGAATTGTTGTTGACCAATCTGGTACTGTATATGTTGCTGATCATTTAAATGGACGAGTTATGCGTTGGTTAAAAGGTGCTGAACAAGGTGATATTATTGCAGGTGGAAATGGTGATGGAGACCAAGACAATCAACTATTAAACGTAACCGGCTTAACATTTGATAAACAGGGAAATCTCTATGTAGTCGATTTGGGAAACTCGCGTGTACAAATGTTCAATATTGACTACAGTTATTAATCATTTAAATTGAACTCTATCCGTAGTGTAGTTTACTAAACTTGAAACTAATTAAAAACACGAACGTTTTACTGTAGTTATTTTAGCTAATTATCCACAAATAAAATATATTTGAAAGAGACAAATAAAACAAGTGCTTACTGAAAAAGAATTAATAACTTCTGATTTTTTCATCACTTTTTTAATTCAATAAGATTCTAAGATTAGGTTTTAATTATAATCTTGAGGGCGAGAGTGTGTTTAGACATATCCTCGATCGCAATCAAAGATACAAATAGCTACCGCGACGCGTTTTGACCTAGTTATAGGTCTCTTCAGGTGAATTTGTCTACGTCTTTCCGAAATGCTTGAATATAGAACGTTTTTCATTCTATTGTATATTGAATGGAAAAGAAAAGAAACAAACAGGTGAATGAGGAACAGTGTCATCTAGAATCAACATGTATTTATATACGTAAGGTTCTTACGTGTTTACTATATATTCCATGGAAGTTCAATTTATCTGATAATCTGTGGATCTACAAATATGTTTTGACAATTACAAATCTAATTTTATTTTTATCTGGCCGGGTTACAACAAGAAAAGCAATCAAATGTTTCAATATATTTTATGTATTTTTACTTTACAGTATATTAGCAAGATACACCATTTACTTTGTGCACACCCTCACCCTCAAGATGCATTTTACAAAATCCGCTTTTGAATGAAAGACTCTGGCTTGTTTTTCTGTGTTTTAGATCGTTTTAAATGTCTGCTTCCGTTTCAAATTTATTTGAAATTAATTGAGAGTAAAGCGCGTAGTAGACCACTTGAATTTTTTAAAGGTTTTTGTGAATTTTTTTTCCTAAATAAGATATTTTTTGTATTTTTTCTTCGCTTTGGACATTAATCAACGATGAAACAGAAAGATCAAATCAAACGGAAGTGCAACAAGTGAAAAATATAGTTATTTAAAAAGGTTTTTTATATAAGTACATAGGGTAGTCAATAAGTTCTCGGAATTTTCTATATATCTCTCGAATAATTGTAATTCCTCCGTTTTTTTGCATCATATATTCGAGTTAGTTAGTGTGATATTATATAGAAAGTTTCATCATTCTAGCTGATTCCGTTGATATCTTATTGAGATAAATGTTGAGTACAAAAATGGCGCCTTGGTTATTGGTGAAATTTTACTAATCTTTTCGGCCATGAAATCTTGATGAATTCATCAAAAAGTAAACAGATTTAGTGTGATAGCATTCATACACATTCAATCGAATTTTGATATTACAATATTGAATTCAACATCATTATCATCGCGGGAGAACAGAGAATCTAATCCTTCATAAACGATTTCTGCTGACTATAGTACGATCTACCGTGGAACACGTTAGTAGTTTATGTTAATTAGACCGGTTTTGGGTGTGCGTGATTTGTAAAGCAGCTAAGAAAACTATTTATAGTAGTTAAATGTACGAAAGTTCACCAAGATAAAATTTATCTTCATAAAACCGTCTTTTTATGCATGACGTTACTTGGTGGTTTTTAAAAGACGTAATAAGTAGCGTTACCATATTCTCTGAACACAATTAAATGAAGTTATGGCTAACACAGTATATTCACCTTGGACTAAACATTCAGTATAGTAGGTCGAAAAACGAGTAAAAGAGAGACTAGCTGATAGCCAGCTGTATCTTTTGTCAAATGTCAATAACCAAGGAGCCATTTTTGTACTCAACATTTATCTCAATAGGATATCAAAGGAATCAGCTAGAATGATGAAACTTTCTATATAATATCACACTAACTAACTCGAATATATGATGCAAAAAAACGGAGGAATTACAATTATTCGAGAGATATATAGAAAATTCCGAGAACTTATTGACTACCCTATGTACCTTATTGCTGACACACGTTCATGCACTACCATGTTCTCTTTCCTACGAAAAGCCACGGTTCATTGATCTTCACCTACCGCGTTCGCCATTATTATTAGTCTCTTCCTCTTGTTTCTCTTGACCAAACATCTTCGACCGAGTACAAAACAGAACTTATCACTTCATAAGCAAACCGAATGACCCAATAAACCCACAACGGGCAAACCACAAATGAAGTTCTTTATTACAACTTCCTCAATATACTCTAGACTACCTCAATACTTTAAATTCCACTTCGCTGATACCACTTAAAACTCCAATAAGGAGCACTGCTACTTTTTCACTAGCTCCCCATAAAAAACCGAGCCCCTTCCCTCTCAACACAATCCCATAACTGAGTACCCACTCACTGACCAAAAACTATCCCTGAGTTGCTTCATACCAAAAAAGGAAGCTTTCCGAATCAATTCTCCAATTTCTAAACGACACACATCGATTACACCGTCCCTATCATTTAGTCAAGAATTCCTTTTCGGGCACCCAACACATACCTGAGCAAGTCCCACCGCTCCATTGGCCCACACAAGTACAGGCACCAGTCGTCGGATTGCAGCTCCCACCATTTTGACAGCCACCTACATAGATCAGATGCGAGCGTTCGCAATAAACCACCGCAGTCGGTAAATATGTCAAAGAAGAGAGAACTTACACGTAGTGCATGTCGTTCCACTCCATTGGCCAACACAACTACATGCGCCAGTCGTGGGGTTGCAGCTCCCAACATTTTGACAGCCACCTACACAGATTACACATCAGCATACGGAATAAACCACTTCGATCGATTATTGTGTCAAGCGAAAGAAAACTTACACGTAGTGCATGTCGTTCCACTCCATTGGCCAACACAACTACACGCGCCAGTCGTGGGGTTGCAGCTCCCACCATTTTGACAGCCACCTACACAGATTACACATCAGCATACGGAATAAACCACTTCGATCGATAAATGTCTCCAAGAAGAGAGAACTTACACGTAGTGCATGTCGTTCCACTCCATTGTCCCACACAGCTACACGCGCCAGTCGTGGGATTGCAGCTCCCACCATTTTGACAGCCACCTACATAGATCAGATGCGAATGTTCGGAATAATCCACCGCAGTCGGTAAATATGTCAAAGAAGAGAGGACTTACACGTAGTGCATGTCGTTCCGCCCCATTGGCCCACACAAGTACAGGCACCAGTCGTGGGATTGCAGCTTCCATTATTTTGACAGCCGCCTAGATAGATCGGATGTAAGTGTTCGACGTAAATCACCTCGGTCGATTATTGTTGCAAAGAAAAGAGAACTTACACGTAGTGCATGTCGTTCCACTCCATTGGCCCACACAAGCACACGCTGCAGTCGCCGGATCGCAGCTTCCACCGTGGAGGCATGGCGGGGAACAGGTGACTAGGAGAAAATATTGTATATGGTGGAAATTGGTTTTCTATATCGAAAGATAAACGGGCGAAGGTGATATAGTGGTGGAGACATGCAGGAAAGCGGAGACCGATTAAATCAAATCAAAGCCGTAGATTTGGCTTTATTTGATTGGAGGGGGGGTTAATTGGAATGTGTTCGAGTAGGCCCAGATTCGGACTTCGCTAGAATTTGCTGTGGAATTAGAGTTGTTTATGAAGTTTTGGCACGATTCATTCTTTTGAAATGTAAAATATGTTGCTATTGCTGGATCAATAAGAATGAATGAAGTGCTGATGAAGATTTCTTTGTAGTGGACTATTTTCTATGCAAAAAGGAGGATGGCTTTGCTAAAGGGCCCAAGTTCGATGGATCGTGATTTGGTTCTAGTTGGAGTGAAAAGAAAGTTCAAGAAGACTGAAATTCAGGTCTTATTGAAGGGGAAAGTATTTCAGCGAAATTCGGTGAAATCTGAATCCAGTGGTTTCTATTAATCCCTTAAGGACGGGGCTATTTTTAAAGGAACAAAGAAGACTTTAGACGCTCTGGCGTATGCAAGAGTCAGTGTGTGCGAAAGTAAATAGATAATACATGACATCAGTGGATCAAGGTATAACGAAACAATAGAAGTGATGAATATAACTACAAAAAGAAAAAAGAGGTGACAATACGAATGATAGTATATTACATTGGCGATATATATAAAACGGCACAGATCATAAAAATATCGTAAGAAGTATACTCACATAAATTATGAGTTGATTTCAACCTGGACGTATATATACGTCACCCGCTCCCAAGAAGTTAAATCCAAGGCAAGAAAAGCGAGACTTCATCTGATTCAGATAGTATTTGAAATAGAGTGAAGTATTAGGGAAGTAAGGCCGAAGTACGAACGTTATACTTGCTTCGCTCTACTTCACCCGTACTTCACTTGTGCTTCACTAATGCTTCACTCTACTTCATTGTGCTTGGCTGTACTTCAGCGATGCTTCAATCGTACTTCACCAATCCTTCCACAATGAAACTACTGATGAAGTATGAAGTTTCGCTTTCCCACCTTGATTAAATCTCACTCTAGAATCGGATTAGCTGCACTCGTGGAGTAATCTGTTCTGTTTTTTTTTGTGTGAATCGAAAAGCAACTTTTGAGGCAGAAGAAGATCACCAGAAAATATCTGATAGAGGAGTCTGTTAGAAGTTAGTTGCTTTGGTGGTGCCTTTGATCGTGATAGTTCTAAGCAGACGTGCGGATCCAGCTATATTTCAGTTATAAAATGAAGGAAGTTATTCAATACAGGGTGTACCAAAATTATAAATCCCTACTATCTTGTCGAAGAGAATTTAGTTTGCGTTTTGAAAACACGTGTGTTTGATCATAATACATATCCGTTACGACGACGACTATATGTATGGGGTATGACAAAATTATAGGTCCTTGCATGCACTCACACAAAATTGCTCATTCTATTTCAACAGTGTTCAATACTGATTCACTTATGGCATGTGAACATGAGACCGTACATATACTACCTACCACCCTGCTATCCTATTTCGATTTTCCCCCATAGTCGGATAAAAAATTGGAAAACTAGGAAAATTGGCTGTTTCATGAGTAATATAGACCATCTAATCATAAATCCATTTCCCGATTTTCTGAGCATGTTTAACCGCTGGTTTTTCGCATATTTCTTAAGTATAGACTAAATGCCAACTACTTCGTATACTTTCAGGTCGTAATCAGGGAACTTTTGTCTCATACCCTTATCATTCCAAAATATATATGGATCCCTATGGTACTTAATATGCATATGCTCTTCTTATACCGTTTATCTGTTCAGAGTGGATTCAATATTGTCAATTCTACTCACAATATTGTTCTAACTGATATTAAGTTTCCAGTAGACTATTAGAGACTAACTTGGAGTAGTTTAACACGACAATTACTATGGGAGTTCTGAATCTTATCGGAAATCTCTGAAGAAATCTTCAAATTTTACGGGCACATGATCTGATGAATTCAACCTAACAGCATGGTTAGAAAGAGCACATCAAGTTGTCCTAAACACCTTATAAAAATAATAACACAAATGGTCGGTACTCAATGCCAGCCAACGAATTAATGTAGAGGTAACATATAAGTTACTGATTTACCAGTTAGTAAACACTTCCAAAGCAATTTATTGGTATCTTGAAGCATATCAGTAACTTTCATTCTCAGCGAAGCAGCAAATTTCTATCTTTCTCCATCAAGTCTCATTGTTATGCATGTGAAATGTAGCAGTCACTTTTCCCCCATACTCATGATTTATTAATAATCAACGTCGTTCAATACAATTGAGTATCGACCAATTTTGTTAGCATTTTTATAAGATGGTTTAGAGCAACTTGATGTGCTCGTTCTAACTACGCTGCTAGGTTAAATCCATTAGATCACGTCACCATAGGGTTTGAAGATTTCTTCGGAGGTCTCCTATAAAACCTATAACTCTTATGATACACTGAAAAAAATTTCCGATGAATGATAAACCCTCAAAAAGGGTTTATAACCGAGTAATCTATTTATCATCTTGCTCCACCCACTGTGAATCCTTTTTTCTTGAAACACCCTCAAAGGGTTTGTCATACGTTGTAAACTGATGAACCATTTTTCCATCGATAAAGTGGATTAATCTCTAATAGAGAGTTTATCATCATCTATAGAAACCTACCTTGAAAGGGTTGATCCAGTTTATCAATGGAAAAATGGTTCATCAGGGGGTATAGCAAGTCGATAAATGAATTTTTCGGTTATAAACCAATTTTGAGGGTTTAACATTCGCCGGAATTTTTTTCAGTGTACTTCTCGCGATTCACTNTTTAAGGACCGGCACGGTCGAAAAACTCGAAATACTAAAATTCGCGATTAATTTTGATACTCTATTTTTACGTATTTGGGCCAAAACTTCAATATTATACACATGATTCACGAAAATGAGACTAGATTCTGAAAGCCCGTGGAAAACTGAGTCGATTAGTATAATTTTTAAACAGATTCCTTGACTTTTTTTCGATCGATTTGCCAGCCCTGGCACCCCCACCCCCCAGGCATCTACATATGAAAAATCACTTGAAGGAAAGTAAGCTGTTTTCACTGTTACCAGTGGTAGATCAGTATTTAAATGTGAAATTTAGGATTTCTTATATGTTTCATTGCGTTATTTTAACTACCACATAGTCTGTAATTTTCTGTACTCCTGTAGACCCGAAGGGACCATAGAGACAAACTAACCAGGAAAATGAACCTTCTTTCAACAAGGTTTGTTTCATTCAATTATGTTTAGTTTTTACTATAATTAATATTTTAAGAGTTTTTTTGACACTACGTTCATTTAAGTGATTTTTCATATATAACGGGTAGCCCATAAAGAATGAGGGTTTTAATATTTCATGAATATCTTGGCTAATATCCGTGCTTTACCGTTAATTTTTTTTGTTCGATAGAGAATTTTCTCATCTACAATTCTATGTTAATGGATACTGAACAAGAGTGCAACCGTTTAGTTTTAGATAATGAAAACTAAAGATCTCCAAAAGCTTGTACTTTCAAAATACCAAGATGGACAATCGTGCCTTAAGATCTATGACGATCTTCACGGCACAGTAGGCATTTCAACTCTTCGAGAGATGGTGCAAAATGATCCGGGAGACTGGTTGTATTAGTTCATTTAAATGCGATGGTCGTCTAAGAACAATCCGAGCCAAATCAGCAATAAAAAAAGTGAAGCAGCGACATGAGCGATAGAAAGTCTTTTCTCGCCGAAAAGTAGCTCATGATTTGCGTATTTCTCGCACAAGTGCACAGAGAATTTTGAAAGAGGATTTAAAGCTCAAATCCTATAAAAAAAAAGATCCAGCCAAAAATTTCTCAACATCAAAAAGGAAAACGATTGAAATTTGCAAATTGGATACGAACGAACTCTCGCAAAGAGGACGCATTGAGGTTTGTGTTTTCTGATGAGAAAATGTTTGCCATTGTTGGGGTTTATAACTCCCAAAACGATAGAATTTGGGCGGCGAATTATGACGAAGCTGATGCGAAAGGTGGCATCAAGCAAATACAGGAATTTCCTCAAAAGGTTATGGTCTGGCTTGGAATATGCTCTAAATGGATATCTCCTTTAGTAATTTTCGAAGGAGGAACCGTTTATCATGTGCGGTATATAAAAGAAGTGCTTCCAGTTGTTCTTAAATTTGGAAATGGCATTTTTGGAAACGATCGGATGTTTCAACAAGATGGCGCAAAGCCACATACTCATAAGAAAACCCAGGATTGGTACCGAGATCATTTTCCAGGTTCGATCGACAAAGACCACTGGCCTCCAAACAGTCCTGATCTCAACCTATTGCACTATTGCATATGGGATAAATATGCTAGAGCGATCAACTGGGACCTAGTGACATCTAAAAAGACCCTTATTAATCAACTCGAATGTGCTGTCAAGAAAATTCCTGAACAGATACTTTTTGAAAGTTGTTCATCTTGGACCAGCCGATTGTATCGGTTAAAAGGAAGTCATGGCAACTATTTAAATAAATAAAAACCACTGAATTTTGTAGAGAAGAAAATGCCCTATCGAACAAAAGCAAATAATGGCCAAAAGGATTAAAAAATCACTAAGATATTCATAAAATACTGCAACCCTCATTCTTTATAGGCCACCAATCAGATGCCTGGGGGTGCCAGGGGTGGCAAATCGATCGAAAAAAAGTCAAGGAATCTGTTTAAAAATTATACTAATCGACTCAGTTTTCCACGGGCTTTCAGAATCTAGTCTCATTTTCGTGAATCATGTGTATAATATTGAAGTTTTGGCCCAAATACGTAAAAATAGAGTATCAAAATTAATCGCGAATTTTAGTATTTCGAGTTTTTCGACCGTGCCGGTCCTTAAAGTGAACCATGGTTATTTAGAGAATTTTGTAAAGCAGATTCGGGGCTATCGAATGCTATAAAATACTAGTATATTTCGTTTGTATTTCACAAAGATATTGATCGAACAAAGAAGGTCTCAAAAATAGACAAAATTTGACATGTTGATTTTGAGTGTTAAACTCGCTACCGCGATTTCTCCACTATTCTGTTTACATAATACTCTGATGTTTTTGCTCTTGTATACACCCAATATGACCTTTGAAATCACCTATCAAGCATCGAAATCCCGGAACCATCTCCGGACAGTCTGGTCCCTCCTGTCAAAGAACTTCTTCTAAACAGATCGATCCATAATTATTATTTCATAGGTTCTAATGGAAAGCAGCCTTTCGAAAAATGTTTAATACTTCACTGTGTCTTTGTATCATTCACTTTCACTTTAATGCGTCTGTATACGCTTCGCTAGTAAATTCATTACTTTCTTGGCCATTTTCTTCTTTCTTGTTGCAATGATTGGATAAGTATCGCGTGTAGTGTTAAAGGTGTACGAAGCGATTGTTTTCTACCGTTGTAAAGCGAAAGGAAAAGGATATATAAACAAATACTGGGTACTTTTTCATTTTCAAAAGGTTATTTGTGATTCTAATTTACCAAGCAATAATCATGGACCAATATATTCGAGCATTTCAATCTGGTGCTAAAACATTACCAGAATCTTTCGACTTAAGTGGCATCTATGGTCGTATTACTAAAGGTAAAAAAGACTCGGATTTTGATTGTCTGTCAGAAGACTCAAATAAACGTCTTTCCTGGCTTGTGGATCATGATACTCTACGGGGTTTTCTTGGTAAATCTCATTTGGAATTATTGATTAGTTCGGGACACTCAATTGAATATGTTCGTCATCAGCTTAATAGTGGTAAAAAATTTAAATTGATAGTTTTTTCATTTGGTTCATCAGAAAAAAATAATGATGAAGTAAAGTTAGCTACATGGGACAATATTTTTGAATTAATGTTGCGAGCATATCCCGAAATTGATCCAACAATTTGGGAATCTTATAAAAATGATCTTAAAAGTTTAACATACGAAGAAATCGATCCAACTGGAAACAATCTTAAAAATTACTATCTAGGAAAAGGCTCGGAAAATTTCATGAGTAACGAACGATTTTTTGCGTTGAAACGACGACCAACATTAAGTGAAGTTCGAGCCTTTTTACATCATCAAGTTGGTCTTAATGAATTATTCAAAGGAGATGGGCGAACAGTGCAACATGATGGAGTAGTAACAGACAACGAATATTTAACAAAAAATCGGCAATTAAATGAATTACCTCAATGTGTCCTACTTGATCTTAATCCCATTGTTCCAAATTCATGATTTTGTTTTCATAACATTGACAAATTATTTTCCAAATAGACTTTATGCATGTTACAACCATTAGTTAGCTAAACTATTTTTCTTTAAATAAAATAAACAATCATTTGACCTTTTCTAATGTTACCCATGTTAAAAAATATAGGAGAAAAATAAGATTAAAATCGATTGTTTTGTGTACTCAAAACGTGAGTACACTACTAGAATCGGTCAGTATGTCCGTCCGTTTACATGATAACTCTCGAAAACTACTTGCATGCGAACCCAAAATTTTGTCCGCAATATTGTCTCACTGATATCTCGGCCGAGAAATGGCCAAGTTATCCTAAGAACTCTGAAAAATCACTAGGCCATCCCCGAGGAGGGGTACAAGGTTTTTAAAAAAAACTTTTAAAAACTATTTAAGATACATATGAATCGATGCAACTTTTAACGTTGATTCCAAATCTGATATTTCCTCGACCGAAAAGAGGGTCACGTAAGAAAAAATTGTTTGTGTCCTTCTGTTTGTCCTAGAGTCAAAAGTCAAAGATCAAAAAAACATTTTTCTTGAAAATGCTTAAAACTTTATAAAACATCGTTTAAAAAGAGTTTTGAAGTTCGATGTTGATTGGGTGAGGGATTTTTATAGTATCAAAACTGTCCTCCATCAATGCATTTAGAAACCTCAAGTAGAAACATATATGTCAGTTTGTAACTTATCGTGCCTTCAATAAATGAGTGAAGTAGTTTTATGGAGTCAATTTTCGTCTCTTACTGATTCTAAAGGAGAAAATAATTATCATTATTATCATTTATATCAACAATAACAACTACATCGAGTAGCCATTATCAGAGTTAATTAGGACAAATTAAAAATTCATGACGCAGCCGATTGTTTACCTTAAGCAAGAGAAGAATTGAAAATGTTCACATTATTTTGTCATGAATGGTGGCCAACGATGGGCACGGTACGGGGACACTGGCCATTGCTGGGCACATCGCGGAAATGGTGGCCAACCATGGGTGCAGTGGGGTTGAGAGTGTCGGAAAACTGTTTGGTGTGGGCTACCGTATGTTTTTTACTCGCTAGTTCTGGTTTTTGGAAAGTTGGAAAGCATTTTGGAATAGGAGTTACATACAAAAAAGATATTTTCGAAAAAAATATTGTTTCCAAAAGACAGCATATCGTTTGTGTGGGTAAGATATATTTAAAAAAATATTGTCATATAAAATAAGAGAGAAGACAAAAGAAAAAAGGGAGACCTAGTTCATGAAGGATCGAAATCATAACAACAACAACAATGTTAAATAGAACGGTCGAAAAGTTAGGAGCGTGGCTTATTCGTTTGTTTCCGCCAAGGTCAAACACACATAAACGGATATTTTGATGATATTCATGGCTCCTCGTAAGGCGCAGTTTAATGCTACTACCTCTGGGGTCTACTAATCGCGTATTGTGCGATATTTTCAGCCATCATATGATGCCTTTTCCCGATAGATCCATCTGACCTCATATAACCCACTGTGGGCGAACCGAACGGTCTCTGCGCGGCATGCAACCGTAGTAGCCTATAGTTCTGATGCGGCTCAAATTCGGAGTACTCATAGGTTCTCAAGTCCTATATAGTGGGGATATGCATGAATACCCAAGTCTGATACAGACAGGATCGTGTCTATGCATCTTCAGGTTCCTCACTATGCGAGTTCCTAACCCTTTACGGCCGGATGGTGCCTAACGGTAACATCGGAAAACTATTTCATCAAGAACTCGTTCATATTAGGACAAAACATCGATCTCTTCTCATGATAATTAAGGACAGGTATTGTGAGTTTTATTGTTCGTGTGTTGAAGTTCATTATTGATCGTCTGTCTCTAAATAGTCTGATGAAACAAATATTACTTGACACTTCAATATAATCGTAATTATTATTTTTCTGGACAACAATTAAAGTCTATGTGAAGTCCCCTATTATGGAACTTTTCAGGATGGATTATTAATATGTTTCGCCAGTAACAATAATCCTGCGATAATATATAATACAAAGAAAACAAGAATGTTACCTTTCGGTACCATCCGGCCGTAAGAGGTTAAACGCTGAGAGAAGTGACTTTGCTCCCCACGCTTGAGTTTCGGTATTTTAGTGTTAGTGTGGGTCCAGATTGTCATGCGCGGCCACACTTTTACTATTTGTCCATCTCTTGCAGCTATAATCTGCAACATATCCCTGGAGTACTTGAAAACATACCACAATAGTGCAGATTTCACCCATTTCTCATGAAGAAACTCACAAGTTCACACAGATTCTAAGTTTCCACAATTCTTGATAATGGCTGTAAGATAACTATTACAATGAGCTATGAATTCCACTAAATTCTGCGTGAACTCGTGAGTTTCTTCATGAGAAATGGGTGAAATCTGCGCTATTGTGGTATGTTTTCAAGTGCTCCTGGGATATATCGCAGATTATAACTGCAAGAGGCGGACAAATAGTAAAAATGTGGCCGCGCATGACAATCTGAATCTATACTAACACTAAAATACTGAAACTCAAGCGTCGGAAGCAAAGTGACTTCTCTCAGTTTTTGATCCCTTACGGCCGGATGGTACCGAAAGGTAACATATTGACATTTCGCTTAGGCTCGGTTCTTTAGAGTTCAAGCCCAAATCCGCTAACCACTACACCTAAAAAACAAAGAATATGTAGACAGAGGATATTTTGCTTGATGTCTTCTGGTAGTCGGCCGTAAAGGGCTAAGTAGCGTATTTTAAGGATAGCCTGGCGTCGTTAAGACATGGCGGGCTTAGAAAGTAATAGATCATACTAAAACAAAAATGTAAATTTTTCGTCCATACGAAGATACTGGGCTAGTTAGCATGACGAACGATACAGGAAACTAGTTTTTTCTTGCACAGTCGAGGGTGAAGTGAGCCGCAATGACGAACGTTACTTGTAAACATCGGGATACTTTTCTTTGATTGAGAATCTAAGTATTTCTTCCAATGAAAAATGCATAACCTATCATATATCTCAAAGCTTTTAAAAATATTTTTCTTCAAAAGTACTATTGAATTTTTTAAAAGTCATGATATATAAATAGATTACTTATAAATTTATCGTTTGTGATATATATCTTTTCTGGTTCTGAAATATATCAAAGAAATTTTTACAGAAGATCGTGCAATTCATAATTAATAATGTGCTCAGTATAAAAAGATTGTTTTTGACATTTTTCTCTCGATTGTCTCAAAATAGAATCGATTATCAACAACGATAAATTGATCAATATTAGTTCAGCTTCATTTAACTCTTGTCTACCTATTTCTTACTGTATTAATACTGTCAATCATTCTTTGTTGTTCGGTATCATAAGCACCAGTCATTTGAAATAACAAATGGAAAAACACTGAGATTTCTGTCGACTATAACTTTCAGAAAGACGGAGAACGAAAAATTATTTCAAATAACTACTATCACGTGGAGAGAACAACAGAACGCCAAAGAACCATCTTTTGTGTGAATCATAGTCATATATCATGATCGTTACCATTTTTCTTTCGTTTTCAATGTCTCAAAACTTATGAAAAATGATTTTTAACGTGTTTTTGAAAGAACACTTCGTTGTTTTTAAAAGTTTGATACACGAAAGTTCTTCAAAGTCTTACTATTTAGCATAAAAAAAAAACATTTTTCGCGAGCTTTCATTTGGTATAGAATTCATGATATCTTCGACTCGAGATCATAGTGTTACTCCCCTAGAATAATATTATTTACCACCCTGTACATGAAATATAGTTATTTTCTCCACATCCACCCTTACCCTTGTATTTATTTTAAAAGGGAAGCAAATAAGGCGTAAATGAACAACAATTCTTCATAGGATTGATTTAGAAGAAAAAATAGTTTGTATCAAATGATACTAACTGTCCTATGTGAATCTTCCCATATAGCGGAANCAATGTATTCGGCCTGAGAAATGGATGGCATTGCATGCAACAAAGCTCCAGCTTTAAAACCTTGATTATTAGGCCGTCGAGAGATGCCTATTGGAAATCTACGACACACCCACTGTTGAATACATTTGTCGACAAGTGCTTTTGCTTCATCGTCCGTCGAGTCATCAACTACTTGGACGAAAAGCCGACTTCGTGGCCAGTCTAAGTTACATGCATGATTGATAATTGCTTCGCAACATTCGATTTCGTTTTTCATCGGCAATTGAACAGCGACAAAAGGATAGCTAAGCTCGTCTGTTGGTACAGGTAACACATCACGTAGCGTTGGACAAACCCGAGGTCGTAAACGTAATCGAACGAATACAAGCGCCAGCCGCTCGACGTAACATAGAGCTTGAACTATCATATATATTATTATGAAACATTGAATAATATACTGTACTACAAGATAAATATAAATATCAACAGAATGACGTAAGTTTTCCCCATAGTTAATGCTTGCTCCTAGCGGTGGCATAGTTTTCTAGACGAAAAATGAAATCTAAAAGAAGAGAACATATAACTTGGTGATATATAAAATTAGGATTTTATCCCTACGAGTCCGTGCTATTACAAAGCATCAAATTTCAATGGGTGCGGATCGAAATCCTGGCGATATACGAAACAGATAAGTATTTTATTTCTATCGCTCACTACCAATCACATAATAAATATTCTCACCAGTCTCGTCTTACATACATCTTTATGTCGGATATCATTTTACTTGCATGCATTACTGAGTGTTAACGTTGATATGCAACTAAAGAATGTATCCGTTTCAATGACGATAGGATATTTTTGTGTTGCTTGCTGTTCTGAAAACAAAAACATTATATATTGCTCAGTAAATTGTATAGACATTTTCTTTTTTCTATACAGTACTTATTGCTGTCTTGTATCTCTGCTACGTGGTATTTTTTAGCAACAGTATACAGTATAATTAACAGCGATGGCTTTGTTTTAAGGCCATTACAAATTGTGAAACACTCGGTTTGAAGTGTGTTCATCGTCAGTCCTATATGTAATTCGTTTTGCTACTTGTTGTGTTAGATCGTATATTTTGCAAACGACAATTCATGAGGAATAAAGAAATAGGTTTGTTAAAGACTTTTGGCATGCTGTAGGTTCTAGGTGCTCATTATTACTTTCCAAGAATATTTATCAATACCTATGGTTCCTTCTTAATGGCATTATTCTTCTTTGTCTCTGGTCACTTTTTCAAATCAGTCAATAGTTTTCGCAAAAAAACTGATCTACTTTGCTCGAATGAAGCGCGACTTACTATTACCATATTTCCTATATCAGTTTTTCTTCACTACGGCTTAGCACGTTCTCCAAAGATATCTAAAAATAGAGTTCCTAACAACATATTATCGACATGATCTGATAGAATATCCAACGGTTTGTCTTCTCAAATTTTTATTCGCCCTTATGTTGATTGTTCTCAGTATTAGTTGGTTTCTATCAGATCTGTGGACAATTCTGATTCTCATCCAGTTTATTTATCGAAGCAAAGGAAATTCCAAACATATTGATTTAATCTATCTATTCTGCCTTTTGTGTCGCGCTTTAGTCAATATACAATGGTCGTAAACTTCCCCATGACAAACAAGACTGTCGAGACTGGAAACTACTTTACTACTTCTCATTCGAGTATATTTCAGTTTGTTTTTCTTCTTCTGTGAGATATTTTACTGTAAACACATCGAAAAGTGTCAAAATATCGACTTCACAGAAATCAATTTTTGTTTAGTATATATTGTTTTCTCGCAATTAGTCTATCACCACGATACAAGCAGTACAATACATCATTTTAATTCAGAAATCAGTCCGGCACCATTTTAGTTACATGTTATTACAGCGATGTTGAGTAACTATCTATCTATCTTTATCACAAAATGTGCTTCAAAACAGCTTACAGACAGCGGTCTTTCGATAAAGATAGAACGGGAAAGTTATCACATTATGTGTCAACATATGGTAATCTTTTTGCTGCTCAATATTGTAACGATTATTATCTTTCATGATGGGAATTTACAACACTGAAAAAAAAATCCGGCGTTTAATCAACCCTCAAAAAGGGTTTATGACTGAAAAATTTGTTCATCAACCTGATCTACCCCTAGATCAACCCTTTTTTCTTCAAAAACCCACGAAGGGTTTGTTATACGTTGCAAACTGATAAACCCAAGGGTTTATTCTCTA